CTGAAGATGCACTGCATTCTGTCCCTAGATGAGACATGAAATTGAGACCTGTCTGCCTGCTCATGTTATAGATCAGCAAATTTAGGAAAGAGAAGGGAGTTTCTCTCTGTGTCTTGGTCAAAATCCTCTGGATAAATTGGTCATTCACTTTATGGCTGTTTGTGGGATATTTTTGTATGCAAAATGGCAACTACAATCGCTGCATTTACTGATTTTTGAGACATTTGAATCCTATCGCTGCAATATCAAATGCAAGCAATATTATCATAAAATTGTTTTTTTGTATTGCAATCTGCCTTTTACGTTGTATTTTGAATATGCTCATCAAAAAGAAAACTTGATGACAAATGAGACAAAATGGACTTCTAGTTTCATATGCAATTGAGTATCAACTATAATTTCCAGATGAATAATTTTACAATAAAATCAATGGGAAAATCTTATTGTTTTTTGCAGTGACATTTGCACTATTTTGAGAAATCTGAAGAGCGCTATGTAAATAGTTGATTCTCTCTGATCCTCAAACACAATCAAGCTAAAACGCCTCCAAAATTCTACGTGACTCGATTATAGCATCTAGCTTTTCCCTTACAAGTAGTTCATCTGTAATACTGCTTCTCAATACATACACATGCTTATGTTTTGAAGGATTCTTTTTTAAAAAAACTTGGTGTCAATAGGAAGATGGGTTGGCATTCTTGGAGGATGAGAATAAAAGGGCTAAATGAGACTTCTTCATCCAAACCTCTTGTGTATCCTGAGTTAATCAACTACTTTTGTTCCGAGTGTTCCACATATCCACTGCTCTGTTGGGCGGCGATCAGAGAGGGGGAGGTGGGGAAGAAAGGGAAAACAATCTTGCGAATCTCTGGTCTGGTTTCAGGTTTGTTCATTTTAAAACCTACCTCATCAGGTTCTACACTAGCAAGAGTCAAATAGCCTGCTCTCTGGACTACGCAGAAGAATTGCAAGAAAGCAATGTGCAGTTCAATTGGTCAATTACAAAAAAACCCAATTAGAATGTCACGGGTAAATAGAAACCATTTAAACAAAAAGATAAGGAATGAGAAGAAATAAGAAACGAGAAATGGAAATATTATATAAAGGTACAAGGGGTAGAAAGATAATAATTTGACTGCTTGGAGTCACACACAGGATTTTACGCGTCTTAGGGGAAAATGGCTCATCTCTTCCCATGTCAACGTCAAAGCTGCATCCCAGAAATTATGGATTTCAAATGCTGTCATTTCATTACTGATTAGAGCCTGGGTGGTTGCCCTCAATACACAAGTTCTTAGAACAGGAAGTCGCATTCATTACCATCTACGGCAAGCGGTAGTGACACCACCACCCAGAATACTAGGTAAGTATTCCTAGTAGAGCCTACAGCATTGCTGGTTGAAAGAAATATAAAAATAAATTACAATGGCAAACACTTTATGAGCAGGGCCAATAGAAAATAGCAGAAATATTTGCTAAAAAATCCAAGGGGAGTTGATTGGTGCTATTAAAAGGTACATTTCATTGTCAAATTACATTTTGACTTTATTGATAAAAACTAAACATAAAGAAATAACATCTTTGCAAAAAAAACGAATGCTTTCTTTAACATAAACTGGGTGGCCAACTCAGATGTGTGTGTGTGTGTATATAAACACCAGAGCAGGCCGAAAGGGCCGAATGGTTCGTTTCCACCACACATTACATTTAAAGGCCTGGAGTGTTCTGCCTGACAACACCTCCTGTCTCTTGGGGCGGTCACTACACACAGACAGAGACACACACTAACAGAGACACACTCACAGACATAGAGACACACTCACAGAGAGTGAGAGGTTGTAGCGGACGGGGGTGTTTGTAGCGGATTCCGCGGACAATTGCAGTTGCACTTCTCTATTGGTCATCTTATGATGACCAGTCTTACTAACCCATCTTATGAGTTAAGTTGCCAGTTGCCCTCAGGCAGCAGAATTCTACGTTTGTTTGCTCTTCATCATTTCATTTGTATTTCGAAAGAAAAAGGTGTATTTGCATAACGTTTTATTAATACAAAGGTCTTTGTTACTTGTTTTGAAATAGAAGCATTGTTCTGTATATCGGAGATTTCCTGCTGAAAAAGAGAGGCTGCTAACAGTATAACTAAAGTTGCTTGTGCTTATTTCTCAAACTGAAAGGGATTAAACTGACCTGGAGAGATTTACAGACAACTAAAGGGAATAACTTAATATGCCCCCAGACTAAAAATTTCCATGATTAGTTCTACGTGACAATTTTTTTGTGTCGTTGCTGGAATTTTTTGAAGTGTGTAGTTACAATAGATAAGCGTTCTTTTTCAAAAAAAACTTTCATATATACCAGCACATAAGATTTGCTACAGCAAAAAAAGTCCAGGTTGCCCGGAAATGACAACATCGAGAGAAATGATGAAGTTTAATCACCTGGTGTGACATTTCAGAGCCCAAATTCTGTGGAAAGAATTGACCACACATTTCAGTTTCACATGTAGAATTTTACCATACCTGTCTCCTGGCTCATCCTTGCACTTAACCTGAACCAAACATGGACAAACTACAGAGTATGATTTAAGTCATGATATAGTATGATTATTTTACATTATCCAGTTCATGGGATTTCACTACATTATGCAATCCCCATTTCCCGTCTGAAACCCTGCCAGAAATGAAGGTGAAATCACCTTTCACACCTCTATTGAGTTACTTAGAAACACAATATTCAAATGAATTCTCACACAGCTTATTAGTTTATTCAGCATCCAGCTGAATTGCTCCCGAGATGTTATCCTATGTGAAGGGGTTATATAAATTAAGTTGTTGCAGTTGTAATGAAATTCTCACACAATTGACCAGTTAGAAGATTAATTTAAACATCAGTTAGTCAGCTAAAATATAAGTAAATACTGCATATTGCTTACAACCATTACGATAAATAGGTTTTTGTACGGTTTGCTTACGAAAGTTGGTGATGACAAGAAGTAGAATGTGTGGCTGGGAACTTTTTTTCAAAAGGGTCTTTACATGAAATGGAAACAAAGTCGCAATGATGTCAGAGGTAAACTTATGAAATTTTCAGTCAGTATCCTGCATTCTCAATGGTTTGTTACTGTCCCACCAGCCTTCGCACAAAGTAAACTTGACTAAAATACATGGAATGGAGTATTAGTAATACATTTGCCTCAACTATCCTCACTGCAGGAAGAAAGATTTTGTACAATGCTACAATTTTCTTTGTAGGATCAGACTCCCTTCTCGAGTTTGCTGTTCAGATGTTGGACACTGGATCGATTGCAGCAATGCGTAACACCAGATTACATAACAGAAGGATGTAATTCAAAGTCCTGTCAGTTATATTTATCCAAAAAAGCATAACTGCTTAATGACTGAGTAACTATTACTTTTGCATGGTTTGGATAACTACAATATCACTTAAGACCATGACATGCTCTCTTGTAATTAATTTCAGTGGAGGGGTTGATTTATCCTTCACTAAACTAAGGCACTATGACCAATTATATTATCTCTACTGCAGGCCAGGTGAGATTAGCTAACCTCGCACAGAGCAGTGACCTTTGTGGTATGGATATCTTAGCTGCTCACCAGAAAGGATCATTGAGCCAACAAGTAAGTTCACTTTAATTTTATAGATTGGTCACAGTTCTTGCTCTTCAAGGATATTAATAAAAAACGTGATGTTTGGTGCCAACAAGTAGACCTCTGCAGTTATACTTAGTAGTACATGTGCCCCAAATGTGCCTCAATACGCAGAAAGTGAGATTTTGTACAACGAGCAGGTCAGTATAATCCAGATATTCTACTCTGGGTATCCCTACTGCTGAAAGTAATGTCTACTGCTGTAAATAAACTTGGGAGGGTGAAGTATTCTCAACTCACTTTAGCCTGAAATTTCTAGTTTATTATTACCAATATTGAAAATGCAGACACGTGGAAAACCAAGTGCCACATATAAATATCAAGTGGCAGCATCTGCTACTACAATAGCTGTGGAGTGCAAGAGGCTTTTGCTGAAAACTTTTTCACGCTCCCTACAAAAATCTTTACAAAGGTTCCATTTTCAACTTATTGTCCAGCACCCAGTCACGTGCCTGATGAAAAAAAATCATCCACTGCAAGACCTGCACTTTGTTATATCGTGCCAGAGGCTTCCTTTGCTTCAACCTAAAAATACGGTCAACCATGCAACAGAAAACTCTATGAAGTGTTGAGACCCTTTGACATGATAAGACACAAAATCAAAATGCAAGGATTATCTCATGGCAGGAACAATTGGACTTTGATCTACATGATCCCATGATTTCTAAAAGAAATGAAACGGACCCAACTTTCTGTAGCATTTCCATAACTTTGCTTCAAATGTCAAATCCATGTCACAAAGAGCAAACTAATTTTACATGGTCATCACAATCAGATACATACAACATTTTCCACAAATTGTGAAATTGGATTATGGTGGTTTGCAAATTAATACCACTCTTAGTGCTACTCAGTTAATGAGTCACATATAGGATAACAGTTGAATCAGAAAGAGCTACACAGCTGTAATAGTTCTAAGTATCCCAGACTCTTAGGTTCACACCGTCCAAGTATTAACGTTATTGAATTCAGCTTCAAAGTGGAAAAAACAGGACAACATCTAAAAATGTGTGAGCAGACAGGAGACTGTGATGGTCAAAACTCAATCTACAATTCCATTTCTGAGATAATGTGCTGAAGTTTGACATGGAAATGGTGGCAACCAATAAACCAAAGGACGAAACAATACAGGGATATGTTTCCTGAAGCTTCATGGGATTCAATATTCAACGGAGATACGCAACTACAACGGTGTAATATTTCCTTTCATGTTAGTTCTGATTTATACATATTCACAATTAGTTCTAAATTTATAAAAGGCTCATCAGCATAAATTGGAACTCTTAACAAATCTCGAATTTGGAAATATTTCACATTATACTTAAGAGCTGTTGAGAAAATCAATTTATTTGTATTGAAGCCAGCAGCACAAAAATACAGTCAACCATGTAATCATTTTCTACAGGTACAAGCTGAAGCACGATCCCTGCCAAAATATAGGAGCTGTTTATTTACAAGGGGATTGAAGTACAACATAAAGGAAGAGTAACTTTACAATACTTTTTAAAAACATTACTCATTGCTTATTTTTAAAAATAGTATCTTGTTCTTCTTGGTATCAATGTCCTGCATTTATAGGAGCAATTTTCCCCACAAATATCAGCTGCAGGAAAGAATAAATGACAGCAATAGTGATAGTTGAAGATAATCAGTTCTATCATTTAATCTGAGCCATGCTTATTTACAATTCAAAAAGTAGAGCAAAATCTCAAACAAGTATGTGCATTTTTTCCAGCTTGACCCACGGTAACATTCGGAAGTTGCTTTAGTAAATTTTTCATTACATTTTTGCTTCTGCAGTTATTACCAGGTAATTCAGTCAGTTGAATCCTATATTAGTTGCCAGGTGTCACTTTACTCATCAAAAACAAAGTGGTTCTCCCAAAAAATTATTCCAACAGTTTAGTTTCAATAAATGTTTCAAGAATATTTGTCGAGAAGATGTACCATGATAAAACAGAATCAGTGAACATTGTTTCGGTGATAATAAACAATACAGATTCCCTGCCCAATAATGTTAATATAAGCAGGAAATTCTGCTTTCTGTATCCTCGATATATTAAACAAAATCCTGTAATATACAGGAATGTACTTAAGCAATAACCAGTTTATAAAAAGGACAGCCTAATATGTACACACACTACTGTTAGAGACTACAAAAGAGCACCATGATAGCTTACATGCATTGGATGCAATATCAGGACATGACAACTATTGACTCAGCCAACAGTAGAGTATAGCAGGAAATGTTATTTGCATGCTACAGCAGGATGTATTAACATAGCAGAACATAAATAAAGTATTAATCGAGACTGGACCCTCTCTAGACCTGATTTACATTTGGAAATACAAGTATATTGTTCAAGGCTCTGTCACTTAAACAAAAACTATGGATAGTTTACATCTGAGTTACTTTCAGTTTTAAAAAAGACAGAAAATAGTCCTTGAATCTTATTTGTGCTACCTGGTACTCCCAAAGCAAGAACTCGCGTCTTCTTCTAAGATACAGAGGCGAAGACAAATGCTTTAGGATGCTTTAGGAAAAGGCAGAGCAATGCTTGTTTTTAATTAACAATCAAGAGGTCATTGATAGGCACCTTTTGCTGATGGAGTAATGACTGCGATGATGGATCTCCACTGTACCAAACAGCTGGACCAACAGCAAAATTGAGGTAATGTTTTAAAGGATTATTCCATGTAACAAGGGACCATCTCAGTCTTTGCTGTGGGTACATTTTCCCCCAGATTCATACATAAACTGGTCCTTCCCATCAAGTGTCCTCTATGCTGTTCATTGGTAACTTGCTTATCCACAGAAATTAACAGATTAGGTCATAAGACCCTGCGTGGTTGAGAATTTCTCCAGGAATACTTGCAGCATATTAGTCATGTAGGTCTGGAAGCAGTTTTCACCATGTTGTGAAAGCAGGAAGCTGATGAGCTAATGATTTGTATCATCCCACACAGACTCGTTCAATTGTTTTAGAACTTTTCTAATCATCTTCTCTAATTCTTTCCTTGATTTCTGCTCTTCTTCTAAACTTTGCTTCATTCTTTTGTTCTCCTAAAGAGATCAAACGTGCATAATTTATCACAAGTAGAGACTTCAAACATAATTAACTTTGTTCTGGTCCGTGAAAGAAAAAAAAAAGACTTGGCTTTGCTTGCACTTCTTACCTGTTTCAATTCTTGGACTTCATCTTTAAGTGCATAAACTGTGTCTACAAGGCTCCTTGGAAACAACAAAAGATTTTGTTATTCATATTATAAAGAAACCAAATAATTTAAAGCTGCTAAATATCTTCCCTTGATTTCTAATACATTTCAGTTCTGAAAGTTAAAAAGTCTTACTTTTCTTCTATTACAGTTTGACCATTACTTTTGGTTTCTTCAACAATTATTTTTTCCTCTTCAGGAAGCAAAACTTGTGGCGTTGACTCTTTTCTACAAACTGTAAAAAGAACAGAAGTAGTTATATATTCTCACACAAGCAGCACTTCCGACACGACGTCCACAAGTTCATGTCTGGGATTGAATTCTGGCAATTTGAACCAGGAGAACATCAATTATACCATTTTGCAAGCTTTTTTTTAAATGAAAGAAAACATTGCCTGATTAAGTCTGCCTTTTCAAAAGTGAAATGGTTTACCCAAACAATCACTCAATTAATTACAGGCATTTGTAAACGGATCATAATATTATGCCCAGAGATAGAGTGTGCTTCTGTATCCCCAAAAAAAATTCTGTACCCTATCTAAATATCTTTACTTGCAGTTATAGCATATATCTTACACAGAATCCAATAAGGTGTTTAAAATACGTTACAATCACAGGAATGCACGTAAGTTATCTAAATTTAAAGAATTAAATAAATCCTAACAGTTTCACAACCACTTTGTAATAACACAGTAATGAACAACAGGAAACACAATTATATAATCTCATGCCAAAAGCTTGGCCTACATCACTTAGGAGTCTGTAGTCTTAATTCTATCTCACATCAGTGTGTTTCAGAAATAGCAACATATCGTACAATGGTTTCCAATCAAAAATGATGGAAATATTTAACTCTCAACCAAATACCAACTGCGGCAAGGAAATGAGTACATGTCTAAGTCCTTAAGAGCCACACAAGCATAAATATCACATTTACATTGCATACTTACCCGATCTATGAGTTTGTTGTAAATTTGCACTTGTACAGTAGGCCTCTATAACTTTTAGTATTTGTGCATCTTCTTCCAGGGCTGCTGTACCTGTGAAAAACAAATAAAGTTACCAAGCAGCATATAATGGGTACCCAGATATAAGAACTCATATAAATGGTACAGAGTGAGACTGTTACTATTACCACTGCAGTTTAAGGAAAGGCTTACTTTTCCGCAGAATAAACTCGTCATCAGATGTTTTACGCTCAGTTTTTCTCTTAGGCAGAAACTTTTTCACTGTTCTGGGGCTCTTACTAGATTCCTATATCCGAGAAGAACAGATGATTAGCAACAGTTACAGGCTTTAATTAAGATTTCTGCTTAAGGATTCAGTAAAAACTGTTCGACACAAATGAGGAGCAAGCACGCCATAGATATGCCAGGTTGGAAACAGCACATTTTAGATGGTTAGTTGCAATGGGGATGAACCTGTCAAGTTTCTTCTTCAATCACAAGAATCATGTTGGCCCAAATGCTGGAACAAAAAGCAAGTGCAACTGAGTTTAAATATAAATGTTAAGGATTCTTTAAATGCAACAAGATATGCAAGAATAGGAAGTGGTTATATAATAATTGCACAATACATCTCAAGCATGCACACCACCATAAGCTAGTTGCAAAGTCGTTGGTCTACCCCTTACCTTAAAGATACAAGACATCCTCTACAGTGTAACAAATGGGGAAAGATAAGATGAAAGTGAAAGAAAAAAATGATGATTGATTATATGAAAAGTTCAAAAGTTCATTCATTAGAATAAAAGAATCATATTAAAATCTCTCTATATTAGTACTAATAGTTCTTCCAATGCACACTTCCAAGGTCACCCAGATTAGTTTCAAATGTTATTAACCATGCAAGTCCCTAGAATAACAGTATCATGCACATTTAAGGTAAATTTCAAGTTGCCACCTTTCGTGACTATTAAAATCAACATTTTTAAAAAAAAGATTCAATACATTGATTACAAGGTGTGAAATAGCCTTTACAGTAACATTTCGATAAACATATATACACTAGTAATTATCAATTTATTCAATTACTTATTACCTAAATGAATAAACCAGTCAAAATATGATAAACGATTAATCTGGTTAAATTTGCAATTATTCTACACAAATCAAAGACTTACCTCCTTATATCCTAATGCAGCAGAAGGCCTTAGTGGAGGTGCAGGCCTTAGGCAGCTCAGCGTCCACGGTTTGGAGATTTTGGGAGGTTCCAGCGGTCCTCGATTTTGCCCTGCGGTGTTGTAAGTCAGGGGTGGTGAATAGGGAGGTGTTTGATGTGATGGAGTTGCTGGAGGCTGTTTACTCTCTCCGTGCTGCTAGGTAGTAATGAGAGATGTGTTCCAATTACTTATAGTTTATGCAATGTATTGGAATACCCTCTTGGGGCAAAATATTCAAGTGTGTAAACTGAATCCAAGGGCAGTAAGGAGGAGGAGGGAAAAAAATAAATTGAGGAACACAGAAAAGCAGTTCTACTCTTAAACAGGATTCAGCTTTGAAAATAAATAGTTTTATTAAAATCTGGTAAACTCCAAATTAGAATGTGAATTTAATATTCAGACCACTAGGGGTTTAAAATGATCTTAACTTCAAAACAGTGATTGATTCTACAACAGAACACATGCACATCATTCGTGTAACTAGCTATTTCAGTAAGTACAATATTTAAGGAAGTGGCTACCACAACATGTCTACCATCCATACACCAAATAGAAGATCCTTACTGACTGTGATGTGCCAGACAGTGGTTTTGAGGTGGCAGTGCCAGATATTGTGCCTTTGGTCAGCATATGTAGGTTTTCAACCCAGTCCTGCAATTCCTGGATGCTATTACAGGATACCATAATGCGTTCTATCATGTTACCTGCATTGAAACAGCAGTGAAAAAAGTTTTTTTTTCCATATAAATAATCACAAAACTTTCAATATCTACATTTTGAGATGAGCATATTCCCATTTGAAGATGACTATGTACATATAACGTAATAATTAGCATGTTTTTTTAAATGTTACATTCACAAGAAAATATTTCATTTACATGATCTCAAAGCAATTTCTGCAGCAATTCTCTTAAATACAGGATACTTGCATTCTTTTCACAAAGGTCAGTGAATTATTTCAGTGCAGGAAAAGGCCATCGTAGCATGGTGACGTATATGCAGATTAAAGATTAATCATTATCCAGCTATTATTAAAGTGTAGAAGACAGAATTATTCTAAAGAACAATTTATACAGGGACAGATATTGCCTCCAATAATTCAAATAGATTAGTGAGGCATGACCTACTCCAATACAGCCTCAGTGCTCTCCAGATCCGTACTGATGGTAGTTCATACAAAGGGAGAAATTTCACCCTTGTCTAGATTTACATACCTGTGATTTCAAAGGCATAATGGAAGTTCTCACTATCTTCTAATTTTGTTACCGTCATTCCTGTCAACGGCAATTTCCCCTAAAATAAGAAAAGTGGTTAGAATTTAGATTTGCTACCAATTTTATGAAATTGGATTTAGGGTATATGTAAATAATTTTCAGACGTTCAATATATTGAACTATACACGACCTTATAAAAATCTAAATCTATTTTATAATTGTTCACTTTACACTCAGATTTACAGTTTCTTTCCTCACCTGATAGAGAAAGCCACTCATGCATGGGCTTGCCGAGAGCATTAGGAGGACAGTTGGAAACAGCATGAAGTACCGCTCATCCTTTTCCTAAGAATCAATTTTTAAAAAAAACAATCATCAGTTTACCAGATTATTGTTCCACATTTTGGTCTCTTAATCTTACTTGAGACTATGCAACACTCTTTTTTTTTAAAAAAACTCATGTTGTAGGTGAAGCTATACCTAAATATGTGTTCATCTGCACCACAACAAGTGGCAGCTGTATCAATGTAATTAGGATCAGGGGACAAAGTCCACAATTACCATTTCATCAAAATATTGTCTGAGTGCCTGGATGAGGATGTTTGAGAAATGTTCTGTACCTGATGCATTGGGTAAGTAACAGTCAGCACCACTGGAACAGGCTCAATGTTTAGTGATCCGTCTCATCTTTAATGACTCAAGTTTTATCTCAATTGCATGTATTAAATATAAAGTACATAATACAAGCTACCCTTACCCATTTCTATGCACCAAAGACATGCATACAATCCAATAAGCCACTCTGACAGTAGGGTTGGATTACTACTTTGCTTGTTGTATTTCTATTAATATTCTGTCATGATAGAGATATCAGTGAAGCTTGCTGGATAAAGTAAATTGAGCAGAACTAGAACCAACATGAGAACAGTTTACAAATAATTTATAATAATAATAATCCTTGCATTTGATATAGCGCTTTTCACATCTTCTCGACATCTCAAAGCGCTTCACAGAATAGACTGTAAAGTGAATTGACCGTATATTTGTGGGCGAAACATGGCAGCCAATTGCGCACAGCAGTGTCCCGTAAACAGTCATGGACTGAAAATGACCAATTTATTATTGCTTTGCTTTGTGGAGTGATTATTAGTAGGCGTTATTACAATGAAATTATTACAAATAATTTCTAAACAATTTAACAAGCAAGTGTAAAGCAGTGTCATGGAGTAGAGCACATTTTGGGCCAGTGTAGAAGAATGTTGATAGCTTGATAGCTGGACTGCCCACGGAGTTTCCAATTTGAGCTACGCTATTAGGAGTCACCAAAGGGAGGCAAAGAACTACCCCACGGAGGAGGAAGAGGAGAGTCGAGAACCATTTATCCTTCCATTTGAGATAAGAGAAGAATCTAAAGTTATATCTAAAACCATGACAAACATGATGTTTTTTTGTGCAATATAATAGTCACAATTTCCCCAGCAGAGCTCAAAAAGATGAATTTGTATAGGAATAGCACACTGCATTCCAAGTTCAATTTCCTTAAAATGTGCATAGTTTGTCGATAGGATTACAGGAAGGGGAGGGGAATGAGTAAGAATAGGGAAATGCCACAAGTGTTCAGAAATGCAGTTCACATGAATTAGCAACAGGAAGCATCCATTTAAGAAGCAAGCACCCAAAACCAGTAACAAACAGCTTGGGTGGTAACAGGAAACATGAACCTTTTGCAACTTTCAGTGTGAATGCGCAATAGTTTATTTTTGACACTTCATATGATCGAAAGCCTCTTACCTCACTTGCCCCACATTGCACCATGACCTGTGACATGTAAATAACTGTGCCTAGACTTTTGATATCTTCACCTTCCCAACCCTGAATGTGCTCTGACAGAATCTGAAGTTCCAGCAACTTCCGCTTTCGTAACTCCTCACACTGATCCTGGAAATACAGACATTTATACATTGCTTGTTTAAAATTGTTGCATACAGCATGGTCTTTAAAAACTGCAAAACGAAACCATAATCAACACTTTGATGTAGTGATTTGCATTAAACATTTCCTTTTTTTATTGCACAAAAATAACCCAGTCGCGATTAGGGCATTAGTTGATTCATGACAGTGTGACACTAATTATTCAATAGCAAGTATAAGCAAACTGGCTTAATATTCAGTTACTGGCAAAGTGGTCAAAACATCCTGAACTACAATTATTTTAGTGTTAGCTTTACTCATATAATGTTTTTCAGCGTCACATACCACCATTGTTAAGCATTGTGAGACACTACTCCACATGAAGTGTGCTTTATAAATGCATTTTATTAACACTCAAACTGATGATAACTATTATATCACAGTTTTCCTCCCTTTCTTCATATTAAGATTCTTTTTGTCCAGGAAGAAAGCTCAATGAATACTTTCATAGTTTGATACATCAAATAATCAGATTTACTGTAATACAGTTTAAAAACATTGCATTTGACCTCTCATGATTTTCACTCACCACTAGACTTTTGAATGATGTCATCGCTTTTAAAATATTTGAACGATCAGGATGCGATTCCTAAAATTAAAAAACATTTGACAAAATGTAGTGTCATTAAAATGATAAAATAAATTTGTATCAGTTTAATTAATATGGATTAACTGTACTCCTCGTGTTTATCCCAGATGCAAAATAAAGGACCAGACCATATCCATTCCAAGCAAGTTGATACAAATTGTTGGGGTAGTTTAAAAAAAATAACCTAGACCATCTAGGTTATATTGAGGGCTCCAGCCATCGCTCTCAAATCAGCATCAGGGACATTTGCTTCAGATTGCTTGTGCTACCTTGACCCACAATTTGCACATCTCTCTGCGGTGTAGAAACCCAACTCTGAAATCAATAACATTCTGCAAAGAATCAGATTATTGCATCATATCAGCTTTGTTGCGGTTGTAAAATGCCTACGGTAGTTGGACAGCGTACGTTTTGGGTACAGATCTAAAACCAAAAGAACCATTTTCATGCCAGTTAAAATAGACATTTCCTCATGTGTGAAGCTATGTCTTCCACAGCTTCACAATGTTAAGTACATAAGAAAAATGAGCTTCATTGTTTGTTATTACATCCCTTTGTACATATAACAGTGGCATTTATACATAATGTTCACTCTTTTTCTTTCTCCCCAGTGTATTTGGTTGTATGACTAATCCATGGCACCATTCAGCACTTTCTGTTAATTGTATTTCCATTGTATTTCTTTACTCCATACGCCTAATAATAATCCCTCCAAAACCAAAAACAATAATAAATTGGTCATTTTCAATGTACGACTGTTTGTGGGACATTGCTGTGCACAATTGGGTGCCGCTTTCCCCCACAAATATAGTCAATTCACTTTACAGTGTGTTCTGTGAAGCGCTTTGGTACGTCCTCCCGACGTGAAAAGCGCTATATCAAATGCAAGGATTATTATTATTATTATTATTCAGCTCCCTCAGTAAAGGATGCCCTTTGAACAGTGGCTTCAATCACCAATTGGAAGCATATTCAGGATATTAAAGGTACAATGGCATTGAGTGGGCTTTTAAGATAAAACTAAAAATACTCACATTTTACCAAACAAGCACCTACTCAATTAAAAACCTTACTAGGCTCAACTCTCAAAAACAGGGGGAGGCACATTGGAATGCAAAAACAAGTTATGATGATAGAACTGACATCATCATTAAGCTAACCAACTCATCTGCACAACAGGAGTCACACAATTGTACCAGTTCTCAAAAGCTGGAATCAAATTTTAGGAAGACATTACAAAAGCAGAGACAATGTTGTTCCCTTTTTGTCAATATAATCAGACACAACTGTGAATGAACAACCATTTAGGCTCCAAAAACAAATATTGTCACTTTCAGGACCCGAGTAGCCGAGGCATAGTGGGATTAACACTGGTGATATAAATGTGAGTTTAATTCTCAAAATATTTATGCTATAAATTCATTACTCTAAGTAATAATATTTAAATACACAAATTACAGAAAAATAAATCAAAATTTTTTTTTCAAAAATTTTTTTTTTTTTTTAAACTTCAGTGAAGTGGAAAGACTGCCATATTCATACTCAAATCAGTGCCAGTACCTCCACATGTCGTTCCAGTTCTTGTAGCAGTGCTGGGTACTTGCCCAGTCTCACAAAGGGTTTGCTGAGGCTTGTCGTTAGGATCAGACTACCAGGGCTGGCAGCACCTTGGCTTTCCATAAATTTATCCAACTCGTCTCTGTACAGCAGACAAAACAATTTGCAACACTTGGTAAAATTCACACAACTGGAATAGTCCACAATACCTCAGTCAAGTTCATTTTATTTATATGTAAATCTCTAGATTTGATTTTCTACTGATACAATTAGGTTGCCATTTGATGTTTTTGACCAATGATCGCATGAAGGCAACCTGCAATCATTAATCAACAACAAAAGTCTCCATTGAATGCCCTTAACTAATTCAACTATATTCAGTTGCCTCCCTTGTTGCCCAATGTAGGTCATGCAGCATCATCCCGCAAGTGTAGAACTGTGGTGGAGTTCAACAACTAACGCTAGAAAATAATGGTAATGAGTACCAAAATACATGCTGATGATGGATTTGGCATGTTCAGGCTAAGTTCCCAACTGACTATGAACAGGCATGCTTTGTCCATGTATGCCAGGGATGTGTTAAGCTAATGCACAAATACACAATAATGTCAGAGACTCTGAACACATGTGACATTGAAGCTGCAATCAAATATTTATGAAAGTGGGATCTGTACTAAAGGTTCTTGTTTGCAGGTTCAAATGAACATCTGCTCTGGTTATTTTTTAACACGGTGAATTAAAGAGTAGACATGCAGTTCATTTTATCATTCATCGATTCCTGCAGCGTATTGGTTAAGAGAACTCGCCTCGCAAGCAAAAGAATCCAGGTTCAATTCCCTGGTGTGGTGAAACCTTAGGCAAGTTTCCTTACTCCACGCTCCTCTGTTTACCTAGCAGTCAGTAGAAACCCGGTTGTTAGTCGATTGGCAGATGGCTTTTCCAAGGGTAATAATCGCTCCAAAAAGAAAAAGGTCACTCAATTTACGACTGTTTGTGGGACACTGTTGTGTGCAATTGGCCACAAAATATACAGTCAATTCATTTTATATTCTGTGAAGCACTTTGAGACGTCTCAATGACGTGATAAGGAACTATATCATATACAAGGATTATTATTATGTAATTATAACCCCTTACTAATGCAGTAAGTGGTTCACAGTCTGTTTGTGGAGAACTATTACCCAGAACTATTACTCATGTTTTTCTAGGAACCAAACATCACTACTGACAATTCTACTTGCCATCACAATTATACAAATGTCCATCCAAATCAATTAAGTCCCTCGTAGATGAGAAGTTCAGTCTGAGGTTCTTGGACATATTTGCCATTCTCGACCTTCTCAACAGCTGTGCTTTCAGCTATTTCTTTTTTCAAAAATCATATTAACAGGTACAAGTGGCAACAAAATATTCCTCCTTTCCTTAAGAAACTAATTCAACCCTCTTCGTCCTACTCCACAATTTTACCCATCTCACAATGAGTGTAGTCTATCCCATTGGCAAGTGATGCAGAACTGTACATCTTTCATTTACCACCCAGCTCTTTAGTCAACATAATGGTGCCAAACACAATTCCCACAGTACATAGACATGTACAAAAAACAGTTCCAATTCAATCAGCAATTTCACAACTGATTAAAATGCTAAAAAAGATATCCTGATCTCCAGATGTGTCTAAGATAATTTTTAATTACTGAAAGCAAATTAAAAGTTAATTAAACCCTAGCAGTCAATTTTTAAAAAATAATCTTACTTTTGTCTCATTTATTTCTCTGCAATGTATCAGTGTCATTTAGTGGTTACTCATCTTGTGTCACTTTGCTGTAGGATTTCTACGGGGATTTCAAATGACGACAGCCTTGCTTAACCTCAAGATTCTGAGCTTTAATACTCATTTTTATGTTAGACTACCACCACAAAAAGGGGGGAGAAAGAGAGGAAAAGATTCATACAATTGAAATGTTTTACTTCTTTATATAATGTCTTTCTCTGCTCCTTCATTAGTAACATCACAGGTAGACATTGAAACCCAATGGTCTGTGTCAGAATAACTAATTCCTGATAAGATGTCAAAGCAACATAACTAAGTAAGTATTCAGTCTTGAACCAGCAGTCCTGAAACAAACACGGTAGTGGAGTATGTTCACTATTACACACATTGGCTGAGATTATCAGAAAAATATAAAAAATACCCCAAAAATGCCCAACTACTAAAAAAAGTTATTTTATAACTGCAATGAAATGTATTACTTTTTGCGTGATACAGGCCTTGGATACTCTACAGCACCCTCTTGTGTGCAAATAATACAATCAACTCAGCAGAAACTAATGCATTATTTCCCAGTCCTAAGGCGTTTTGCACTTGATAGTAAAAATAACAATCCTTACACAAGATAATGAATTTCACAATAAAAGGTCTCACAGCACTTCATAAGATGTGTTGTGAATTGTAGTGACTGCATTTTTGTAGGCAAATAATTCCTATTCTTACAAACCCGAATATAACTTTCAAAACAACCACAGAATGAGGCCATTTCGGCTCATCATGCGTGTGCCGGCTCTTTGAAAGAGCTATCCAACTAGTCCCACTCCCCCTGTTCTTACCCCGTGAACCTGCAAATCATTCCTTTTCAATTACACATCCAATTCCCTTTTTAAACACAAACCAATATGAGCTGCATCAAATGTAAAACCTCTGTAAATATTTCTTGCTGATTTATAGCAGATCTTACCGATGTTGTGTGAGTACACCCACAGCTGCTGGGTGATTGGCGCAGTACGAAAGGTACAGAGATTTCATTTGAGGCATCAAGTTAAGAAAACAACCAGCAACTTTCTGCTGGGGCTCTGGCAACCTGCGAATTAAACAAATAAGAAGTTACCTTTAATAACGAATCTAAATTCAAATTAGACAGATAATGCTAATAGCAGTTCAAATATGATCTTAAAACCAAATAACTGGATGAAAGGAGCAATCTGTATAATAATTGTGACTTATGTCTTATGAGGGGAGGACATAAGCAGAGGATTGAGACTTATTGAAAGGGGAAAGTGCTCTGAATCACCGAGGCAACTCTGACACAGCTAAAGAGTAACATTTCATATGGATTTACCCAATATTTGTTACTAACCTGAAACCATGTAGAGGACTGTTTGTGGGGACACTGCTGTGCGTAATTTGTTACTGTGTTTCGCCCACAAAATATAGTCAATACACTTTACACTATATTCTGTGAAATGCTTTGACGCATCTCAAATATGTGATGAAGCGCTACATCAAATGCAAGAATTATTATTATGTTTAGATGTCCTTGATTCCACCTACATAGAATAGAAACATGCTCAAAATTTCAATAAACGATTATTTTCCAGTGTGAAAGACTTAACTACAATATCCTAAGACAAATGAATATGGGGTAACATTTCAGTCATTAATTTGTCAAAGGTTTGTTTATCTTCAGAGGTTTTCTCTTAAGTGTAGTAGTGACTGAATTTTTAAGGGAATGTGACACCCTATTTGCACACAGCAATGACAAATTAACAGCCATGAAGCGAATGACCATGGAATTAAGATCACTGACTGTAAGATACAGAAATAAAATCTGTGTGGCTGTCTTAAGGGGATCACGTATCACCAGCTCATGAATCCAAATGCAGCGCCGAATCTGAATGTTGCAGCTTTATACGAAAGTGCAGTATTCAAGCTGAATGTTCCTGAAGCAGACTAGCAGGGTTGGAAAATTGACCTGATTAGAACCCAGAACATCTAAAACGTAGATAAAGGTGGACAAGCACCATAAGTCTTACATACTATTATTATTCTACACATTTAAATTCTGATATTAAACTGAATGTAATGAAAATCTTTGGCAGTGATTCAATCTCTGTAGAACTTTTTAAAATCACTCTCTGTGATATTCTGCTATCTTGTCACGTAGGAACATATTTTTGAGGGCTATGGTTCCTATAGCCAGTCTCCTCTTTGCTCTAGTTTAATTGCTTTATCTTAAATGTTTCCTTCATAGTGAATTCAGTTCAATACCCTTTGGTCAGGCATGATTCAAAAGTCATTTATCTTCTAACAAATAATAATAGACAGTAGCAAATGCTTGGCGTTCTGCATATTTAGGGCCAAAGGCCTCTTGGCATTCAAATTAACTCAAGAGAAATGCTCTCTCAAACTTCCCAGTTAAATGTAGGGAACAACATTCCTTGACAACTTCCCTCATCCAAGTCGTTTGAGATGGAGTCCTCGATCATTTTCAAAGCATTGGACTTTTTCGATCAGATGAAATTTCCTCTAGTGTCCATATAAGTGAGGTCCGACAGTAAGGCAGGGGAAAGTGGAGGTGAAAGCAATTCACCCTTTTCATTGAACATGCACTTTTTCCATCCCCAAGTTTCTTAAATGTAGATTGAAGCCTCCCAGTAACAATGGGAACTATGCCTTTTATCTTCTCAGTGTACACTTTATTATGCGAACAGGAAAAGTGTCAGGCACCTTAGGAGCTCAACTTCTTGCTTGATAATTGTTTTAACTTCTTGGATTTTTCCCCTCCCATGTATTAAATCGGCAGATTCCTTTAATTCCTCCCCCCACAAGAAAACACAGCTCAGGTGCCCAGCCAGTTGAGTTGTGCTTTGAGACATCCTCCTGATGTTATATAAATGTAAATTGTATTGTTGCTGTATTGTAATAATGGCAATTTGTCTGCACACCACAAGGCGGCACTGCGTCTACATGCTACTTTACAATTATTTTAACAAACTCATGGAAGCAAACTGAAGACTGCTCTTGTTCATTTATTTCTGTGATTATTGTCAATATTTTCAATAGTCATTAAAATCTACTACACTTTCTATCCTCATGCAATGCAGTGATTCGTAGTTGCAATAGTACTTATTGAATTGTTCTTCCTGGAAGCAGTGACAGACCTCAACCATACACAACTATTCGAGAACCATACGTCAGTGTCAGTATTCAAATCAATGCCAAGATTTCTGCTGTGCGTCTATGTGGATGTCAAGCACAGATAGGATTTGTCTTGAGTATAATGTTCTTCCTCTCTTTTCTCTCCTCCCCCAATTAAATAATTGACTAGCACTCATTGTTTAGCATGAACAGATTAGGGCAAGATACCATTGGTAGTGTGCCCTTTGGTATTTATATTCCAAGATGAGTCAACACTTGGCAAAACTGATGCGGGACAAAAATAATGTCTCAACATTGAAAGACGTTTCAAACTTTGCTTTGGGTTTACTTCTGGACACCTTATCGATCTGCTTATATTGGTTCAATTTGGTTTTAAGTGCTTTATATAAATGCAGGGTGTAGATTGAAATGGCTAGGTGTAATTTAAATTGTGATTCTTACAGTGGAACTTCACCCCATTCAAAACAATTTATTCCATGAGGTTGCATATAACCTTTGCCTTGTTATGGTTACATTCAGCCCGTGTCAGTTTGCTAGTATCAAGAACACTTGCTCCCCTTGTGCTGGATTTATTGTGGAACAGTGGTCATATTTTAACTAGAGCATAATACAGAGAGCTACATTGCAAATAATAGTTCCAACCAACCAATGAAATGTAAAAAAAATACAGAATTTTGTAATCAACCACTTGTTTTCTCACCTAATGTTTATTTCACTGGCTAATTACTCAATAACTGTGAAAGCAACATTACCCTCCCAAGTGAGAAACCCATGTAATATAACTGGCTGACTTTATGCAGCAAATTCCACCTATTGTCAGAGGATTGTACTGGTGAATTTGCTGTCAAAATATTATCGCTTCACTGATAATTCTGAAGTTTTGCACAATGATAGGATTTTAATTCAATTAAGAGTACTTTGGATGTCCTACTCACCTCTTTTCAAGCTAACTCTGAAGTTCAAAATTCCTCAAATTACATTCATCCCATACCCTGCTCACAATTCTGTCACTGTGAAATGCATTTAATCAACAAGACATCCGGAAATGCACTTTGTGAATTCATAAATTCTTTCTAACACATTCCTTCATACCTCAAATAATATATTGTAAATGATTTTCCACTGACCGTCGACATTAATTCATTAGCAGTTAAGAACTATTTTAACGCCATCACACTTTGTCCCTTTTCCCTAAATAGCCAACCATCTGCTTTACACGGGAGAAATAGTAACGGTTTGAGAATCTCATGTGTCAAAATACATAGTCAAGCACATCAAGTACATCATCAATGACTCATAAAAATTTCCACCATTAAATTGCTCACAAACTAAATGATTTGATTGTTTATAACTTTTAAAATAATTCTTTGATAGTTTTAAAAATAGCTATCTGATAGCTTTAAAAATATCTATCCGGTGCCTTAATAAATTCATTGCAGAAAAGGGAATTATTTTAATTAAAACTGATGATGCATCAGTACGTACTGAAGAATCAAATGTTTCAGAGTGCCAGATTTAAAGTTACTCATACGGAAGCTACCGAGCAACTCCGTTATAATTGGGGATCTGGGTCCATAAACTCAGACCCCGGCATTAAAACAAAATGTGAAAAAGGGTCAACTTCCAGAATGTCAGGTCACTGCTGATGTCATTTCCATCATAAGAATCCCTATTGACAGATTGAAAAAGTAATCCCATAATAATACTTAAATTGACAGGAAGGATGGTTGAGGTCAGGACGCTGTACTCGTTCAAAAAAAAGAAAGAACAATAGGCGGACTGGGTTAGGTGCGTAATCTGGAAGGATGAGAACAGGTGGTCTGAATGGGCTCTTTCATCCAAACCAATCTTGTGACGTCCCTTCCTTCACAAAGTGATATCAGTCCTGCTTCCTATTCATAACTCACAAGGACAATTTGGAAGATAAACCGTTTTTAATAGTTGTGAAAATAGGCAGAAGATGATGTATTAAAGCAAAATTAAGGGTAAAATGGGATTAAGATACAAGGTAGGAGAAAGGATGGGAATATTTAGAAAATGGCAAGATAAAATATTAATAAAATAAATAATNAAAAATGTTTTATTATAATTATATTTTTATATTTTACGGTAAATATAACAACGATCAAAGCTATTTCAGATATCTGATTTTATAAAATGTCAGTGTCATAGTGAAATAGTTGAGAACTGAAACCTGGCCATATTTATACATCTTATCTATCATCAGTTCTTCATTTTATAGTGCTTCACAGGATCAGTTACTAAAGATAAGGTGTACAAAGACAGTAAAGTAATTCCGCATGTTTAAACTTACTTTGCACATTCCTCTAAAGCCTGGTAAAGTGTTTGTTGATAGGTGCAAATTTCCTCTAAGTTTCCTCTTAACGCAACAATATCAACAGCAGATAATCTAAAAAAATACAAATGAGCAATATTAGAATTTCCTTACATGGCTTGATTCTGGCTTGATTCCGACAAGATGCATTAGTCAAAATGATGATGATGCTTAACGATACGAAGTGTGGTGAAAGTCTTAAGTCAAAGGAAAAAAAGACTGCAGCCAAGTAACTGAAACCTATTAACCAAAACAGTTATCTAAAGAAACAGTAGACTCGACCAAACCTGGTTGAGCACCACAATTTCAAATTTGCAAATACATATGCAGGCAGATTTGCTCTAAAGATTTTTAGATTACGTTATACAACAATAATGCAAAGTATTCAGCTGGATTTAGTTTTTTGTCCACTTTAAGATGCATAACAAAGGATTTAAGAGATAGCTATTCTGTTTTAAAAATACATTGGCTAAGTGTTCAACTGAGAATCTCAAGATTTGATAACGTTCATGACAAAACCGTATATTGGATTTTCAACATTTTAGAAATGGTAGTTTCTTACTAACTTGTCATTGGCCTGCAATGACCGCAGGTATGTGCCAAGGAGATTTTGCAGCTCTTTTGAGTAATCTCGTTCATTTTCCACAATATTCTGTATAACCTTCAGAATGAGAAAAAAACATTTAAAATATTTACAGTAACCGAAGAAGTGGCACAAGTATGTTCTAGATAACTGATTTATTTAGATTTACAACTGTGAATAGCAGCTAAAGTCTTATTTATGCAAACCTAAAGATAAGAGTCAATATCTGATTGTACGCACTAACTTTGAGAGAAAAGGTTTGCTGATCCTTTCCATTATTTTGTCAATCTGGAACTGTGCCTAAGAAGTCATGATTATCCTGTGCTAGTTTATACTGAATTAAACTACATTTTTAACAGGTATATCATATAAAGGTAGGCGTTAGTCTTAAAAGTGTACTGTGTCCCCGATATGTTTGCCTTATACCCCAAAAAATAAACTTGCAGAATGTATTCTATTTTATTACTGGAAGATGTTTTGCAAATGGATTATAAAATAAATATTTTGGCACAGGAATTACTGAAATATCATAAGGCACAATTATTCTTCCACTAACTGGAATATGTAATGCCATTTCCTGTTAACATTCCCTGCAACAGTACATTGGTCTTTCTAAACCACTTAGACTATAAATAGAAATGATGCTTCAGCTGTGGCACATGAAAGAGCACAAAACCTATTTGAGACACTAAATCTATTCTATTATTTATGAAATGACATTGCTTTTTATATGTGAAATTACACTGCTAATCAAGAGAAGGATGCAAATGAGTTTAGCTGTATTGCAGCATGAAATATAAACAGCATTTCAGGTTTCTAATCTGTAAAACGTTCCCGTAGAACCAGAGAGAGAGAGAGATTAGGTCTAAATTCCTGTTCTACCAGACATTAATTTAGCATGTCCTGGTGATCTCAAACATGGAGGGGGAAGGGAAGGAATATCATCTCTTCCAACGATCAGCTCAAGAGGAATCAACAGTTGCCCATGTTAATTCATGGTCTAAACTGCCCTCTTTCCTTTCAGGCTTTCTTCTCAGCAGATCTCCAACAGCCTAATATCATCAGCATGTTGCACCAACACACTAAGTTACGTTTGATATAGGATGGCGATTAGAAAAGGCATCCGTAACAAATACATTGACCTTGTAGGTGCAGTAGTTTAAGCCAGGGGTAGCCAACCAATCGATCACCGGTGGCGCTGTTGAGCATGATCAAACAGAAAAGAGGAAGGAGTGATAGAATGGTGTAAATATTTAGCCCAATTGAAAAAAAAGACAGATGCACAAAGTATTTCATGCATCTGAAAATAAACTGTTTTTGTTTAAACTGCAGTAAATATCACTCCTAATTTTTAATTGAGCAGGAGTAAGATACCACAAAGCGGCAATCGACTGGTTGGAGACCCCTGGTTTAAGCAAATACAGCACACAGTTCATTTTGAGTTCATCCAACACAAACAGAACTGGGTCATAATCTGCTGTGGTCACCCCTTTAGAGGAAACCAGATGATGTCTGGAGGCTACTTACTGGTGTCAAACAGCTCAGAATCTAAGGTGTTAAGACAATGCAATGCATTTGCTCTGCAATGTTTCTCATCAAAATGAAGTTGAGCAAAGCACTTACCAAGCCGTAATAATTCTTGCAAACTGAAGGCGGTTCAAATCCTTTCGAACCCTTGGGAGAAACTGGCTTCTCTGTGAATACACAGTTATAAAATTGTTTAGGTTTCAAAGTGGAAATATGCAAAAGGCAAACAGGTAAATTGCTATAAATTGAGACACAAGCTGAAAACGGTGAATGCTAAAATGTACAAAAATCTAGCCAGAAGAATATATACGTAGCAAAGGGCAAAAGGGCAAAACATGGTGAAATCTACAATTAAATACAGATAGAGCTCTCCAGTGAATGAAAGTTGATTTAAATCTTAAAAGTAGATGGTTAATAGGTAATGCAAATCCCTCATTCCTCCAATGACAAACTGTAGTAGTTCCCTTTGCACTACTGGTGGCTTAAAGACTGATCTTTCTCAGTTAGAGTGTACACAACTGGATAGTACATCAGCAAACCTTCAGCAAAAAGTGCTCAAAAAGCTCAGTTTTTTGATTGCTCTATGCATTTTTTTTAAACTGATTAAATCCTGCTTAACACATGAATGGACATTTCAAACCATCACCTATTCTCAATCTTACTGTGCAAACTATCGAAAATACAACACAATAAAGCAAAGAGAACAGACTTGTCATCATTGAAACATTGGTGATTTGATGCCCACTGCTTATTTGAACAATCAGAGCTAAATATTTTTTAAACAAAGTTATTTTTTTTAAAAAACAACCTTCAACAAACATTTGGAATCTGAACTCCATGCAGCTGGACCATTCTAGACCTTCAACAGTGCACTGCAACAATTCTTTTTTAAACTGTGATCAATAAGGCTACAAAGTAAATGGATTGTACTTTTTTGAAAAACTAATGTCAGAAAAACACATATCAAGAGAATTGAGCAATTAATGCAATTGTAAGAAAAAATGTTTTGGATTGTACCTTTCCGTCGAGTAACAAAAGCAACTAAACAAGTTAGAAGAATAAAATGTTTAATTTGGCTAAATGCCATGGAGTATTCAAATGCAATATTATAGAAGTCAGTTTATCCACATGATACCAACATTCAGAGGGCATGAACATATTGTCAGAATTATTACTTCCAAATTATTTTATTTTTATAGTTCCAGTGTAATGATTTTCAGTTTGATAATCCCCCTCCCTCTTCCTCTGGTTCGGTGTCATACGCTATCACTGACTGTCAAGCGCTCCAGGATGCTAGCCCACGTGAAGGGCGCTATATAAATGCAAGTTGTTGTTCGTATTGATTTGTGATTTCTGGGCAATTTGGAAAACATACCTAGAACATTTATGAAGAAAATTAAATGTTTAAGATATCTTATAGACGAAAGAATCTTTACACCATTACAAGTTATTTTAAGAGTTAGGCAATAAAAATCTATTTCAACAGACTACTGAGGCACTAGTTCACAATTGACAATTGCATTCATTGTTCGAATTGCCTCGAGCCTCCTCAATGCTGATAGAGGGAATTTAATTTACAACCTTTTGAAGATCATTTGTAACTAAATCCAATGAAGATACTATTTATAGCAATAGAAAGACGTCAGCTTCAGACTCTGCCTTGATTTTCTGCGTGTTGTTAAGAGCATTGATTGCTGCTGTCTGAATTCCCTCCGATACACAAGCAGAGAGTGAAAATATTGTTTTTTGACAAGTACTTTTGAATGAAGAAACCCATGTGCAATGTTCAGCATATGGCGTGTCAACACTTTGTAATTGTTATTTCAGGAATATGATTTCCCTCCCTAAGTAATATTTAAAACTAAACATATGGATATCTTGGCAGACTCCTCATCACTATCACTGGCAAGTTCTTTTCGAATTCATTTTTAACATTCACCCTCAAGTACAGCAGTGCTTTAATCACAAGCCCAAAAGGAAGATTCCCACTTCAATGATAGAAAGGAAATAGAATGTGCAAACATTACCAAAATGAACGACACACTGTAGTTAAAGTATGAAAGGAAAAATATGGAGGGCAAATATAGGAGTCCTTCCACGGGGGGAAAAAAAGGCTGGTAAAAGAAAAATCAGCAACCTATGGCGCGGGGGGTTGCAGGGGATGATGAGAGCGAAAGAAGGCACACAATAATCTATTTTAGTTCTGATGGCCTGGGAAGATCAATTTAAATCTCTTTCATCAGCCCATATTTGCTACTATAATTGATGGATTGATTGAAGACTTAAAAGATCTGCTTACATACGAGTGGCAATTGTGGCACAAGGCCAGGTGCCAATCAAGACAATTCTGTAGATAATCCAAAACACCCGCAGCCATATCCTGGAGTAGATCAAACAATAGTCATCTTCTCGGAGCATGTCACTTTGGAGGTTAACAATGTTCAGGCGTTTGGGACAAAAGCAGCACAAAGGTCAGCATATGTCAGACATCCCAGTCATACATACAGCCCACCCTCATTGTAGATTAATCTTGTGACAGAGGACAGACATCTCCTATTCTGGAAGAGTGTAGATGCTTTTTACATTTTGAAATGTTGAGCAAAAATTCACTAAGAAAAGATCATCCTCTTGTGACAGGCCTGAAGGCAGAACACGCAGAATTTAAAGTCTAGTAAGGGAACATATTCTTAATTTGCAAGACATGCAAGGTACGTTTTCAACAAAAAACACAAAACAACGCCTTAATTTGAAGGTCGGTACATCTTAACACTGATGTACATACCTAACCTAATCAAGATCAAGAAGACAGTGGAAGTGCAAGTACACATCAAGTTCACAAATTCCATATTGAAAGAACATTAATGCTTTCCTATGTGAAAAGTAACTGATATGATTCTATGAAGAAAGAATTTCCCCTCCCCCTCCCGATCTGAGAAATGGTTTGCGGCTTTTCCTTGAAGTACAAAACTGGGCAAGTCTGCACGAGTCATTACAAAACTCCTGAATTCCTGATATCTCAACAATTTCACATGGTTGAACTGTGGATCAACCACATGGAATGAAATACATTCAACATGGTCTTCTGCAGCATAGTCAATAACCAAATACCAAGTTTATTATAACCAATCCACTCAGGATGAACAATTGGCATCCACAAATTCACTATAAAGTTGAAAAATGTGCCTGAACAATTGATGTTCCAACAAGCTTATTAGACCTTTGTAATTTTTCTTACAGAAATTTATATTCGCTTTAGCGTCTGCCTATCCTCCTTACGTCACATGGTGTGTGTCAACCTTGTGCAATGTTATATGCAATTAGCTCAGGGATTCAGCAGAAACGTACACTCTTTCTCCAAGTTAGCTTTCTAAAACAAATGACAAATGGGTAGTACGTACCACTTGTTTTGAACTCTCTGACATAGTTGCTTGGGAACCAGCCCGTTTTGCCTTTACATGTGCCTTCCCACCATCCTCCATCTTCAACTCTTGTGACATAAACAATATCGCCTTTTGAAAAGGACAGCTCATCCTCATTGGTTTGCTTGAATTGAAACCTTGCCTTCACCACCAGTTGATAACCACAGCTTTCAGTCATGTCCTAACAAACCAGATTTAATACAGAACAATTTAGTTATTATGAATATTTTGCAAAATATTTCAGGAAAGATTTACATAATAACAAAGAATACTATCACTCAATAAAGTAAAACATATTTGAAAGTTCTGGTATTTAAAAGTACATTAGTGGCCTAGCTGATAGTTAAACTTCCAGATTATCAATAAACTTTGAATATACACCTATATGTCCATTTATTTGCCTCAGCAAAGGATTTCAATCAAGATAATACAACCGAGTGTTATACAATGCTACAAATCCTCAGGAAAATGTAAGTATTCAAAACCACTCCGCATTATTTCTGGAGTACAAGCACTTCTAGAAATATTGTAATTCTGTTACACATTCAATTTTATTTTAATTTCTTTAACTAGCTTGACAGATCTTTTTTTTTATTCTTCCCCTCTCGCTAATCAGAACCAATTTTTTCTACATTGATGCCAAGACTTAAGTAAAAAGGTGTGACAGACTAAAACTGTAACACCCAGGAAATACACTGGAGGGGGCAATGGTGGATTAGTCAAAAGGTAGATAATGTACAGCTGTCTCAAATAAGAACTGAGGTCAAAAGGATCGGTAAACAGGTACAACTAAGACAAATACAAGCTGGAGAAAATGCCTAAGGTCCATTGCCAAACATATTTGTCTTTCTGGAGAGTCCTTTTTTTTCTCCTTTTCTAGCAATCAACTAAATTGTGCAACGAAAGAGGTGGAGAGATTGAAAAATTCTAAATGGCTGCAATACTTTGACATGTCAAAACAAGTATAAACTTTTAAGTTTAAAATAGCTTTTGTTAGTCAATGGGTGTTGCCTTAGTTCTCAAATTTGAACGTCCAGGAGTCATTTTTGAAGTACTACCAGGATATAGTCAACAAAAATACAATTTCTTCAAAGACATTTTTAAAAAATTAATATTCCTTGGAATACGTTACCAAATTTTTTGACTGCCTCTGCAAACGTCTTGATGGTTTTCTGCCGAGTGCTTGTGAAGCGCTCAGGGAATCCGCAGAATTATGGGATGAGAAAGTTGAGCATGTCCTTCCACTTCCACGCTCTGTTTAAAATAAATTCTCACATTTATTATGTCATCTTCACTCATCATTAAGTAGAACAATTTTCAAAGCTTCTTATTTTCTCCAGTACAATATCAGACAAGAAAAGATGCAAAAGGCATGCATATCTAGAGCAGCAGCCTAAAAAGTAAATGCGGTTAGGTTTTTTTTGGTAGCTTAAGTGAAAAAGTGCTGGGCAAAAAGAAAAAACAAACAACCTCATGAGAATCTATCATTTCATATCTCAAATTCACCAAACAGCTTCTAAGCTAAGACCACCTGCCATACTAGGCTATGAGTTTCCCAATTAGGATCCAGGAACTGAGAGGATAATATTGTAATACACACAATTCCTACAAATTTCTGCACTGGCTCTTCCAACTGAGTGGCTCTTGAGGGTTTAGAAAAAAACAAACAAATGGTGGTTCTTTACATTGAGGATAAATGACCCAAACTTCAAAGTATGATTTTTACAAGAGATGAATATGTCGTACTAAAATACCCTTCTTCTGCTCCAGACACCAATGCCAATGGCAATACCACCAACAACTTGCATTTATATAACACTTTTCACATGGGGTAGTGTCTTGGAGTGATTAAATACACATTTATACACAGACACACAAATTCTCTCTCTTTGAAGGAGATTGTAATCAACATATCTCCTTTTCCTCTTTTGAATTTTTTTACAAAGCAGTTTATCTTCAAATTAAAAATGTTCTACGATTCCCATAGTATACTAGAATTCCAAGCAACTAAACATCATGCTCTCCTTGAAGCTGAGATGCTTTTACATATACAGTTACTACATTATCCATAGTCTTCATTGGAGCAAATGAATACCATCTCTGAGCAACAATATGGTCTACTAATTTAATTCCAGAACAGTATCAACTGACAAAACAGCTTGGTCTCAGGACTTTGCTTTTGTCAATGGCAATGATGTGGTTTATAAACATAAAAGAACAGCTGTGTTCAGAAGAACATTGCAGCCTTTGTGTTATCAATGTTCCAGTAGTTCTCTGCACTGAGGGTATTCAGTAACTTTTGATCAAGAGCCATAATCCCAACCAGTGACTTTCCATGGACAGCTCATATTCACCATCAGATAACTTGACATAGCTGATCATTGACATTTGCTCTCAAATTACCGCCCCATCTCCAACCTCCCTTTCCAAGGTCCTGGAACGAGTCATTGCTTCATAGCTTCACTCCTTACTCTCCCGCCACTCCCTTCACGAACCCCTCCTCTTGGGTTTCCGTGCCGCCCACAGGACAGAAACAGCTTTGGCCAAAGTGACAAATTACATTTTAGTCGTTTGCAACCAAAGCTCCCTCTGCTTCTCATCCTCCTTGACCTGTCTCCGATACCGTTGACCACTCTATTCTCTTCCACTGCCTCTCCTCTCACCTCAACAACAAAATTACATTTATATAACGCCTTTCACGTTGGGAGGATGTCCCAAGGCACTGGACAGACAAGAGTTACGGACCTGAGCTGAGGGTTGGGGTGGGGAAGTGGGAAGGCAGGGGGGAAATCGAAAGCACGGTCGAAGAGGAGGGACTTGAGGTGGGTCTTGAAGGTGGTGAGGGAGGGGGCGAGACGGAGGGACTGTGGGATGGAGTTCCAGAGGGTGGGTGCAGAGTAGCGAAAGGTCCGCTCGCCAATAGTGGGGCAAGCAAGGCAGGGGATGTGAAGTAGGCTAAAGCCCGCTGAGCGGAGGAAGCGAACAGGATGGTAGGGGGTTAAAAGATCGGAGAGGTAGGGGGGAGCAAGACCACGGAAGGTTTTGAAGGTGAGGACCAGGATCTCGAATTGTATCCTCTGTGTGATGGGAAGCCAGTGGAGTTGGGCAAGGATGGGGGTAAAAGTTCTGGATGATCTGCAGCCTGTGGAGGGAGGAGTTGTGGAGGCCGACAAACAGTGAGTTTGCATAGTCGAACCTCGATGTAATGAAGGCGTGTATGAGGGTTTTGGCAGCCTGCGGTGTGAGATAGTGTCAGAGCCAGGCGACACTGCGGAGGTGGGGGAAGGCAGAGTGGATCATGGCGCGGATGTACGGTAGAAAGGATTTGCGATGAAGCAAAGTAAGAGCTATTAAACTGCCTAGAGGTTTTACCAAAAGTTTTATTTGAGTGCCTGCTGTATTTGGGAATTCAGTCACACAAATCTTCATTACCTCTGCCCTGACTCTTGCCTCATGCAATAAACATTTTCATGCACTGTAAGTAAAAGACGGTAGAAAGTATAGGCTACAAAAATAGTACAACGCATCTATAAAACCATTCATAGGATAGGATCAAGGAAAGTCCTTCCTTTGTCATTTGCTGAAAGTCTGTTGAGCACCCACTCATGTTTTTCTCTTGACTTTCTACAGCCCGTACACCTCAAGTCAGCTGAGATCAATACCATTCATTCAAAGGCTGTTTGTGGGACATTACTATGTGAAAATTGGTTGCCTCATTTACCCACAAAATACACAAACTACACAAACTTGTTAGCACGCAATTAGCAGCACTCCCATCGAAAGGCACTATCACGTGGGCCCCTGTATACATTTTTAAAACGCCCTTTCTCTGTGTCGTTGCCAACTGCTCACTGTATGATTGAACCCATAGTTAACCTCGCATAGTATTTCAGGAAAAAATTAAAGATAACTAGCAACAAACCTCCAAACGCACAGCCATTTTTGAAACAATTAGCACAGTTTTAGCCTTGAAACAAACAGTGTGTGCACCACAAGTCTTTCATTTCCTACATTATATTAAAGATGCCAAGATGCAAGCCCACGTGGGCAACCACTTCTTCCTGAAGGGAAACAAATATACATTTGAAGGCAAAGTTTCACTAAGAGAACACCTTTCCAATATGGAAAATTGTCGTTAATTACACAAAACATTCTTTGAAGCTAAAAGTGTGAAGGAGCTGAATTACTAGCAGTCATTATTAAGCTTCACCATCAACTAAGTTAATAATAATATATTATAACTAAGTTAATTTAGTTCTTTCACCTCATTTAGACTTTTCTGTGTGTCTTATTGTGAAACTGTGCCAATAATCATCTGACAAAGTTCTGGATGGCAGTTGGCCTCAATGGCAATCACTGCCAATGATACAAAACAAATCATTGCTTTGAAAATCCAGATTCTAATATTCTACCTGCTTGAATCTGCTTAATAAATCCAAGTAATGGCTTGACCTCACTCACTTACATTGCACTAGTTGCAGGTTTATCCACGTCCTCTAGGTTTAGTAATTTATTGTTTATTATGAATATCTTCCTCCTGACCACTGGTATCTACTGTTATATGATCAGAATATTATCACGGTATTTTTCCCTGAAAATATAAGTCAGGTCTTCAGAAACGGTGGTGCGGATCTTGAATAACTCCAAAGAAAGTGTTATTTTAATGATTTTACATCAAAATCAGCCTTAAAATACTGATGATCTAGGATGAAATGTTGTGTTGAATGGATTTGAACATTTATTAGTTATTTCAGTTCACTGTGTCTTCTTTCCCGAGTCAGATTTGTAACTATTTTAGTTGCAATGTAGAATGTGAATTAGTTGAGATACTGCCTTCAAATATCTGCACTCCTGCTGATGTTTCTATTGTTACAGTTATTCCTTAGGTAATATGAATACAATACATGCTTTTGGAGCCAACGTGGAGTTACACTGGCCAATCTGCACTGCTGTCATCGGGAAGATCTTTGCCAAAGTAATCAAATGCGGGTGACATTTCAATGTTAAGTAAACAATGAACAGTCCAATCAGCACCTCATGATGACTATTTAAAAACAGAAACATGGTCCAGCAGGGTCCCTGAGCCTTTTAAAAACATTAACAATACATTTTAAAAAACGTTTTGCTGGTTGTGATTGTACTGCAGATGCTGTGAAGTCAAAGTAGCACAAGATCTGCTCCTCAAAATGATCGCACACCGAAAATCTAAGATTATTTCTCAATAGATACCAAATACATTATTATTATATAGTATTCAGATGATTTCAGTCAAGCCGGCCTTTTGACTAACTCACTCATCTTTCCCACAAACCCTTAAATTCCTTTTCATATGAGTTACTTCAGCAGCTCTTAGAATCTGGTAGTGAACAATTGATAATAATGTATCACCTAAAAATACATTTCAATATTTTTTTGCCACAGATCAAGCTCAAATGTGAGGCTCCTTCTGGTTCATGTTGACGCATTACAATGTAAGATACTGGTTGAATTCACAATTAACTCAGGAAATGGCACATCCGAGGCTTTTCACAGAAGCTTGTGTCAGGTTTTCCAGCTAATAATTTAACACCTAAAAATACATTTCAGCATTTTATCCCCACAATGACATCAGTAACCATTTGAATAACAAATTCAGAACACAATTGCAATACTGTCTTGTGTTAATATGAGTCAACTTAAAATGCCAAAATATTTGTCAGTACTGGTCATTTAAAAATGTTACTAGGATAAATTGTTATTTTACAGAAGAAAACATCATGACAGTCCTTGATGGAAAGCTTATAGGAGCCAGATTGCATCAGGCACGTTATAAGTTTACTAGAAAGCAATGTGCAGCGATCTAATATTTCATTTTTATATACATTTCTCCCTCCCGCCCATCTCAACATCTTTTTCCCCCAGTAACAATTCACAGCTCCCCCTTGGATCGTTAACATTCAAGTAACAAAATTGTTACGGTCTGAGATGAGTTCACACAGGTACTGTGAGTCTGATGTTAACTCTTAGCAGAAAAATGTGCAATAGAACTTAAGTGGTCTAAATACAACAATAAACAGTGCATGTACTAACAGAAGAAAATTACCATCAAAGCACTCAATTAACTACCATCACAGGAGATAATTTTACCCAGCTTCTGCCTTACACCTGCCTCCATGGCTCTGCTCCTCCTTCATTCTTGTAAACATTATAAGGTAACCTTGATAATCTGTCAATTTTTCATTATCCGTCATTGGGTGGATCCTCTCCATTACTGTAATGAACTCAAAGTTACAACTTCAGGTCTAGGGTTTACTTCACACTACAGTAAATGGAACAAACTACTTGTATTTCTTTCAATATTGTTCGAAAACATTAGAACGGTATAAACTGTGGTAGAAATAACCAAAATCATCCATGTACTATCCAATCTACATCTAAATGATTTTATGACAAAACACCACAACAAATAACATTTGTACAGCGCCTTTCAGGTCAAGAAAACACACATACCTTCTCGTGAGATTTCCACAACAAAACCTAAGTTAATATTGAACCAACCAAGTTGTAGGAGCTAAAATGGTGACGGTGTTTACTCATGGAATCACCACAGCTCCGAGGTGTGCAGTCAAGCTTATACAACTTATTGGTTTGCAAAAGCTTTGCAAGTTTTTTTGGAGGGAGAACAAGTGAAGGCACTGACCATTTTAAACAAGCAGGTTTAATTGTGCATGCAATCTTGAAAAAATGCAAACCAAAACCAAGCAGCAAATTTGCTTCATGTAAACACATGATGACAGATTGTGTATAAAAGGCAAATAGCCAATTCTTTATTCAGCCCAACTCCTTTCTTTAAATTCAGCAATTTACTTTAAAGTAAGTCAAATATCTTCTCATTTTAAATGTGTGATTCTCGACTCAGCCGGTGTAAGTTTTGACAAGGAGATCTTCAAACTGTAATCTACTAGCAAAATGCAGAGGTGGACGATTCCTACTACCAATTAACTTATTTCTTCACAACAAAAAGCACCTAAACTATGGAGCTGAATTCTTCAGAATGATACAGGTAATCACATCTTACCCTCAGTTGCTTTGTTAAATGCTGAAAGAGTATTCAGAACCTTGCTAATATTCTGTCCTCTGTACAGGTCATAGACCTCAAATGTTTCCTAAAAAAAGGATGGAAAAAAAACGTAAATCAAGGTCAAACTCAAAAAGCAGTATCATATTTAGAAACAAAGTAATTAATTTAATTGCTAATACAGTAATCACATTAATTCTTGCACTGACTCGACAGTCAGAATAGTAAAAGTAAAAAATCAGTCACAATAACATTTTAAAACATTATTTACAGGCTTGAAATAGTTCAACATCTTATCCCAGAAAAAAAGATCTCTTGCTTCTTCAGACAGTTGGTGTATTCCTCATTAGAAGAAAAAAGGGTATATTAAGTTAATACCAATTGCTAAAATAAGAACTTAAGCATCAAGTATTTAAGCATATTTACTTAAATATAAATAATTGATGAGAAGGTACAAGGGTTCCTGTACATTGAACAGAAGTTTCAAGGATGACTGTCTGACAACTTTACAAAATATATGTCAAAGATGCATTGCGTAATAATAATTAGCACTCAATTGTTTGTGTAAAACAAGAACGTTGAACTGCCCTAACTCAGAATTTAAAACTTCAATCTATTTATCTGACAGTGCGTAACCAAATAGCACCACCATTTTGAAGGGTTTTATGCCAATTTTTGAACAAAACATAAGATTAGAAGTTTGGATTTTATAACATTAGAATATTTGACCACAATTATTTTTCAAATAGTTTTCGTGGGTTTTACCACATGGCTTCAAACTCACTGCTCCATGATCTTGATTAATAAAGTTAGTTGTGGGCGCTATCTCAAAACAAGTGCATTGGAGGTGGGGAAAGAAGACATGAAGGGAAGAAGCCTAAAAAAGATTGAGAAGCAAAAAGGTGGCTGGAACCTTTAGTGCTGATTAGGCCAAAAGAATATCTCAAATTTTGAAGATTATGAACGGGGTTATTAAAGCAGACAAATTGTAGCAAAGTGTTTGAATCTGCTGGGGAGGCAGAAGGAGAACACAAAATTAGGAAGTTAATAGTAAGGAGGAAAGTCAAGCAATTTCACACAAGAAGAGTCACACTGAACTTGCGCAATCTGTCAACAGGGAACTTCTCTGAAATAAATGGCTTAAATGAGTTCAAGAGGCAACCAAATTCAAAGCTACATGTTAGGGAATTGAGAAGTAGGATAAAATGGCAATTAATAAGGTTTAGCGTTCTGCAAAAAAAAATAAGAATCAAGCTTGTTCAGACCAAAGGCCATGTTTTTGGAAGGTGGTTCCAGAATGCACAAGCTGAATGCTTTGCATATTAGTCACCCAAACTCCTACGGCTCTTGTTCAACTGAAATTGGTCAATGATTAAAGAGCTATTCAAGAACAACCAAATCATTTTGCTAGGCTTTTTATGACGAGAATCGTGCTCTCCTGCAACTAATCCTAGAAAGCCACTTCCAACCAGTTTCGTAAAGCAGGAGATGTCCTTATTAAAATGCTTTAATTCAAGGAAATCTGGTCTTTCTGCCTCTCTTCCCCTCAACCAAATATATAGTGGAGTTCTGTAGCTCTGTGGTTAGAGCATGCACCTCGCAAGGAGAGACCTAAGTTCATTTCCCGACAGGGCGAAATGTTAGGCAAGTTTCCTTACTCCACACCTCTCTTTAGCTAGTAGTAAGTAGGAACTTGGCTGTTAGTCGATTGGTGGATAGCTTTTCCAGGGGTAATAATTCCTTCAAAAAAATAGTTACCGGTCACTTCAATCCACGATTCTTTGTGGGACACTGCTGTGCACAATTCGCCACCCCATTTCTCCCACAAAATATACAGTCAATGAACTTTACAGTATATTCTGTGAAGCTCTTTGAGATGTCTTGAAGATGTGATAAGGTGCTATATCAAATGTAAGGATGATTATTATAAATATTGAATTTCATTTTTGAAATACTCCTTAGTTCTAAATAAGCTCCATGCAATGATCTAACTACTTTGTGCTCTAAAAATATTTTTTAGTCTCATTCTTCTAAAAAACAACACAGGAAAAAATACACATCTAGTTCAACTAAGAGATCAAACAGAGTTAAAAGGCTTTGCCTGCCTGGTGCAGTTTTACTGTGCTACAGACGTGTAAACAGAAGCACAGGATAAACAATTAGAAACCTCATGAAGCAGGTTATCAAAAATTGCAATTTCTGCTATACTAAAAATCATTCACCGACAAATACATACTGAACACTATATAAAAAAAGCGGGGGGGGGGGGAACCTAAAAGGATTTTTTTTTAAAAAGTTCTCCACTACTTACTGATAAATTGAAAACACACTTAGCTTAGAAAAGCATAGAATAGAACAAAACCCTTTTAGCTCTGGACCAGATAACACAAACTAAATGTAACCCATGAAGCATTCAGGAGCCTTCTCGGGTCATATTTATGAGATATTAAATTGCCTGCTCAACCTAAATACAGAGTTTGCAAAAACTAAAATCCAATATTCATCGGATCTATTTAGTCTGGTACCAATCTCCGACCTTACATTCGGTGGGTTTTTTGTGGGTCAAAATATATCGGACTTACTCACTCTATTTCCTTCCAATGGTTATTTCTGAGATGGACTAATGTAAATAGTTTGTATTTTTAAATATTATATCAGCAGCTTACCTGTTTCTGCATTCTATAACTGCAATGACTGAGAATGAAACATTTTCAACTTCTGCACCGCATAAATGTAAACTTGTATTGTTCTATTGTATTATTTTGTTAGAGCTTATAATGCTGCATATTTTTTTTAGTGGAGGAAATTTTTTGTTTGTAGCAGTCAGTATTGCCCTTATCCTTGAACCACAATGTTCACACAAAGGATTAATTTTTAATGACAAGAAAATCTGCAGATGATTACCAAGAAATTCTAATGCATTAGAAACCCATAAAAACTGACAATGGATAATCTTCAAAGGCTTACCATTAGGACACAACGACTAAATACAGAGGTAAGCTGCTGATATAATATTTAAAAATACAAACCATCTCAGGAATAACTGTCACCTTAAGAAAAATAACTCAACCATGATAAAAAAATATAAATTGATGTTTTTCAATGCTACCCTGGCTCATTGCCAATTACATTCTGAAATGTATTTGAATTCAGCCTGTGGGCTTAAATTGCAATGTCAGTAACAGCCAAGTAAATTGCTTTGACATGTTGGAGCTTTTCGCAGTCTAAGGACTTGCTCAGTATTGTTTAGAATTTTTTTTTAAAAAATCAGTAGGAATTATAAATAAAAGGAAATCTACAATGAGTTCCTAATGTTTCCCTACCCCCCATGATTCACAACTACAATTTCAGCAAATGTTACCACATACTTTTAAGCATCCCAATATATCATCAGAAGCTAAACACAGTCAAAAAAAAATCTACTCTATTGTTTAGCAAAACAGCACCAAACGTAACTTTTCAGCTAATTTACAATAGAAAATACAACAAACTACAAAGAAGCTCCAAAGTAAAATTAATACACCCAAAACTTTATCTTCCTCCCACCCCCACCCCTTGCTGAAATTAAAATGTATTGTTTGATGTCTTGACTTGATGGAAGGTTACTGTGTTGCACAACTGAATCACATTTATTTCAGGTCTGTCACATGCCACAGATATCTCTATTCATTTGCACAGGAAATCTCCCCTCCCCTCAAACATTCAAAGTTTGCTCAGCACAAGGATTTTTCCCTAAAATAGACCTAAAATAGACAAAGAATAAAAACAATTGTTTCCTTTTCCTGATCTCTCCAAACTTCCTCACAATACTTGCCTTTGTATTGGTACACACTCTATGCACATTAGACGTTATGTAGGTTTTTAAGTATACCATACTCCAGGCAACAGAATACTGTATAACTTCAGCATGACTTCTAGAGCATTGGATTAAATCGATGCAGCAATTTAACCCAACATGCTGTTCATTTTGTTGACTGCTTCCTCACACTATTTGGACATGGAGGGTCACATAAGTCAACAAATATCCCTAGATCTTTTAACTTTCCCTTTGGCAAATTAAATACAACAATTACACGTGCAACCACCCTCCATTTTTCACTCGCATTAACTTGCATTTTGTCTATCCTGAACTTCATTTGCCAGTGATCAGCCCAGGACCTATCACTGTATAAGTTAATTTCATCATCACATTCTTTAGTGTTATGGGGAGTCTTTCTCGAATTCAGCCATCGAGACTCCGAAGCTGTCTGTGTTCAATACATCGTTTAACATTAAACAAATGTGTAATCTAACTTGAAAGACAATGTTTCACAATGTGTTGTTCTTTTCTCCTCCAATCCTTCCCTGAAGATTCTTCCCATATAACAGAACTGCCCTTTAGTACTTCATCTGAAATAACTATTCCTCTGTGTCTTTTAAAAAAACATATAGAAGATTATAAACATTTTGTTTATTACAGACGGAGACATTGAATCCAGTCACCCCACAGCTTGAAGATCCCCTATGGAGACCATCAGCAGAGGAAAAGAACACAGTGAGGAAATGGGAACAAAGTGCATCCAATTGCTTCTAGGCTGGAGCACTCACATTCTGACATAGAAAGGATTCAGAGCGAGAACTAAACTCCAGCAACTCAAACAAGGATAAAAAGAGTGAGAGAAAAAGAAACAAAATCCTCACAAACCTTTCTTTTGTGCTCCTCAGAGGCCTACTTTAACATTCAGGCACTATGGTCACAAGAACTGCACAATTCATACACAACTGAGACAGGAATTTTGCTAAAAAATAATCACCCCAGGTTACTGTCAGCTGCTTATTACAAAACATCCCTTGCCCGAGGCTTAACTATCTCTCTCTGTTCCACAGAACAGTCTTGGGTGAGTTACGTGAATGAAAAGAGAATCAAAGGTTTTTATGTAGATTTCTCGTCCAAAAATGTATCGATGTTTGAAGTCATACTAAGAAAACTCAAGTATAAACACAAATGACAAAGATTCAACTAAGGCACAGACTGGATCTGTTCCAGCATTGACCAAGACGTTTGGCAGTTCTGTACACCAGAACACAGAAGCAAAGCTCAGGAGGAGGAACTTAACAAGCTCATCAGAAGTTCAATTCTCTTTTTCAGTGGGAGTCAAAGTGTTGAGTGGATTTAATATTCATAAAAATCTCCAGGGAGATACTTTGTAATGTGAGTGACTGCAAAGTCCAGTTCCTCTCGTCTCTCTCTTTCCCCACTGCCCACGCCCCAACCCTACAAACGTCACAAAAGATCTCCTAATACTAATACTTGAAAAATTCATACAAAAGCAAACTGGGGGTGACTCAGACTCGCTTCCTTTCCTGGATGCCCTTGGTCACCCAGCTTAGTCAGCAATTCCGAGATGTGGGGCAAATCAAAGCATACTCCTACTCCCAACCCTCTTCAGCTACCAACCCTTGGCTCAGGTGCCCAGACGACAATGTAAAGAGCTTTGCGACACACTCTCAATGTGAAAGGCAATATATAAATTGTATTGTATTGAACGGCGGGGATGTCAAATCAGCTGGATGTTTGTTTCACCACAATTAACTCAGTTGCTTATGTTTTTCTTAGTGGAGGGAACAAAACATTAATGACAGTCACCAGCAAGCATCTCCCATGAAATTATGTTTCATTCGAATATTGCTACTCTAGAATATACAGGAACAGTGCATGCTTACACTGGTCAAATCAGAATAAATATTTGGTAAATTGCCAGCAAAACATTCTACTCCCCAGAACAATTTCTATAGTTCAGACGAAAACACTTCTAAAAACAAAATGTTGAAGTCCGTTGTTCAACAAGGGTATGCTTAATTTTGTATAATAATAATAATCCTTGCATTTGATAAAGTGCCTTATCACATCTTCTAGATGTCTCAAAAAATACTGTAAAGTGAATTAACTGTATATTTTGTGAGTGAAACACGGCAGCCAATTGCGTATAGCAGTATCCCACAAACAGTCGTGGATTGAGTATTTTTTTAAGGGATTATTACCCCTAGAAAAGCAATCCACAATCAACAAACAACTGGGTTCCTACTTACTGCTAGGTAAACAGAGGCGTGTGGAGTAAGGAAACTTTCCCAACATTTCTCCCTGCCCGGGAATCGAACCAAAGGTCCTCTCACTAGCAAAGCGAGTGCTCTATCCACTAAGCTACAGGACTCTCCAATCGATCATGATTATCACGCTTTTTTAAAAAAAAACTGGACACTTAATAACCAATTTTGAACACAAGTTCAAAAACAATTCCTATTAAATATAAATTATGCAAGAGTTGCTTACAGCTTTTAATTTACACACACCATCATTTGTGTGCATACATCTTTCCTCGTGTATTTGAGTTGAATCGGTGTTATAGGAATGCAGGGTAACAAGAACCACCTTAACCAATTACATCTCCCATGTGTCCAATTTTAAAGCAAAGGAGTAAAATGCTTTACAAAGGAGATCACATCAATGATGAGCCTCATCAGGAAGCACTTCCTTGTAACTGCAGAGTTCAAATTTTAGGAGTCACTAAGCTTCTTCAAAATCAGTAGCAGATGAAGTCTAGTTCAACAAAGTGAACAGAGCTTCCAGATAGCATGGAAAAACAAAGAATTTCATAGGTTAATGTGCACGCACTCAAGAAAAATGAAATGACCACACGGATTTGTCTCAAACGCTGATCTTTTCTGTATGAGATTGTCCAACAAAATCCAACAAAATGAAGATAAGTCTTTAAATCGAATGAATAAAACAAAGCATCTTCTTCTTCTTCTTCTTCTACTTCTTCTTTTAAACATAACTTAACAGGCATTTTAAACCCTTGGCGTCACCGAACCAACCACCACTTCTTGCTTTTAGCTGTGTTTTTCTCTGCTCCGGTGCACTTCTCCACTGCGGCGGCGGCGGCGGTGGTGGTAGTGGGCTCCTGCCCTGCACCCAAGTTCCCATCGCTACATAAAGTGCTGCTGAAGGCTCCCAACTGTATGCACAGTTTGTTAACCACCGCCAACCCAACCACCATCCCCCCCCCCCCCCCCCACCACCCCCACCACCCACCCCCATCAACCCCAACCCCTCACCCAGGGATCTAGAGGTTGGAAGGTGGAGGGTTGGGAACCAGAGGTCAGAGCAGGAGCCACACACACACACACACACAGTAACTCCCAACAACTCCACCGGGTGGGGACAAAGGAAGAGGCGCCGACTGTCACCCCCTCACCCTCACATACACCCCCTTCCCCCCAACCCCACACACAGCCCGACAGAACAGCGACCCCCCCACACCCCCCACCCACACCCTTCTCCCCTCTCCCCGGCCTGAGACTCGCCCCCTTCGCCCTCTGAGGGCAACCTTTGCCTCTGGGCAAGTCAGACCAAAGCCCCCGGAGCAGCACAGCCGAGGCCGGGCCTGGGGGGCGCTGTGCAGAGGGAAATGGGGGGTGTGTGTGTGTGTGGTTGTGGGGGGGGGGGGCAGTGTCTATGTGTGTGTTGAGGGGAGGGGGGGGATGGTGGTGGTGGTGGAGGGGGGTCGGGGGGGGGGGTTAAGGAGTCAAGACTCACCTCGATCTGAAACGCCGCACATCCTTTGAGGAACTCCCTGATGTTGCCGCAACACTCGCTCTCGCTCTTCGGCTCCTGACAAACCTGTGGCGGAACGAAAGGATCAGTGAGCGGCGGCCAGTCCCCGCTTCACACCGGGGGCGGGAGGTTTACCCGGGCCCTAAAGGCGGTGACACCGCGCTCGGGCTCGGGCTCGGCTCGCGTTCGGGCTCGGGCTCGGGTTCGGCTCGCGCTCGGGTTCGGGTTCGCGCTCGGGCTCGACTCGGACACTCCACCGTCACACACACACACACACACACACACCAGGAAGCAGCGGCGCTGCGCTGCTGTTGCAGGGAAGTGACAACACACACACACACTGCGCACCGGCCCACAGCGCCCACTGAGCTCTGTGGACTGCAGTGACAAGAGCTCAGCTCCCTCCCACCCACCCACCCACCCAGGCATTTGCAAATCAGAGATAAATAGTAATGATAGCAATAATCGTCATCATCCTTGCATTTGATTCAATGCAGCGCCTTATCAGGTCATCGAGACGGCTCCAAGCGCTTCTCAGAAATATACCGTACAGTGAACTGACCGTCTATTTTGTGCGCCAAACGCAGCCCATGGCGCCCAGCGGTAGCCCACAAACGGTTGTGGATTGCAATGCAGTCGCTCACTTCACGCCAGCAATGCATTGCACGTTAATCGTTGCAATGAAAAAAATAACTCACTCTATGTCACCTGCGTTCTATAACGAGAATAATCGATTGCAATGAGTGCGACTGGTACTTGTGGCACATTTTGTTCTGCTGCAGCTGGTGAAGGATTACATCAATAACTTGTTTAGTATCTTTCAATGCCCTTCACTGAAAATCACAAAGTAACAATAAACGGATTTGTGCACGTTTGGGGATTTTCATGACAAAGTTATCATACGAAAGGTCGTGTATGATGCTGACGTGAAGATTTACGCATACCATAATATTACACAGAACTCAGGAGTGGACATAGGGATAGAATCATTTCCCTGATTTGTCGCATTTCTTTGGTTTCAATTCTTTTCACCTACACCAGCCACAAAATATACAGTCAGTTCACTTTACAGTATAATCTGTGAAATGCTTTGAGATGTCTCGAACACATGATGAGATGCTATATCAAATGCAATGATTATTATTATTATTGCCAGCTGTATCTCAAACTCTGTTCAGTGACGGACTTTATTTTGTCCTACAGGCAACTTGTTTATTTTTATTGTTTAAGAGCTGTTACAACTGTACGTTTGTTGTGAAAATTTCATCATGTTGATTTCCAAACAAATGATATTCAGGTGACGCGTTACTGCTAATGATGTCATTCCAAATATTGCAGGAGCGACTTCAGTATTTGACAATTTGAATAATAAACATTTGAATGTTTATCAAAACATTGTGACTGTTGATCATTTCTACCATATTATCCAAAGTTATTTTTAAAACAGGCAGTATGACCTCATTTGAAAGAGATATTCCCATCACCACCCTGAATTTGCTAATCACAGCCTGGATAGCAGTGATAAATTGCAATGTAAATCAGATTTAATATCTTCAGGCTAGTGAGTGGGAAACAATTTGCAAATGAAGGATGATTTAACCATTATCCAATGACCCCTGCAGAAGATAGTTACTGAGTGGGAATAACACTTATTTTCAGATGTGATTTTCTTCCTTATAGAATAAAATGTGAGCTACTGTATCACTGTCTTGAGTTAAACATCACAAGATCTGTTCATATGATGAAGCCCATTTCATGTAATTCTTCCAGCAAGAAAGGATAGTTTATGTTAGGTACTGCAGTACTAGCCCTTGCTGAACAACAAATGTATATTTATAGAGAACCTTTCATGTGGGGAGGATGTCCCAAGGCGATGGGACATCCCAAGCTGAACTGGACCTCTCCAGGAGTTGGCACATCATGAAAAGAATGGGAAAAAGTGGACACTTTAGAAAGAATTTAAAAAATGCATATAAAAATATGCATAGAAGGATTTATCGATGCATAATTTCTGAAAGACACCGCACATATTTGCTATTTTATAAGCAATATGTACAGAATGATGGGAGTCAGGATTTGAATTCTCCACTCTATCTGATGCCCAAGTTCAAGTCACGTTGCTGCAGTGACATAAATAACTTAAGACAAGACCTCTTGTGTTAATTCAATTTGTAGTACAGTATTTATTCCTCCAATAATTCCAATGCAAGGAATAGTGCATTCCTATAAACACCTCTGGAATTTCCACATGTAGGTGGGATGCATGGAGCTCTAAATTTGGTTTGGATTCTCTTTAGCATGATGTGAGCTATCTGCATATGTCAGACACCCAACTGATCAAAAAAATGGTCAGCCGTGTAGACTCTTGTTTAGAAGGATGTTGGTTTAAGACCCACATCAGGACTCAGAGTCATAGTCCAGGTTGATACTAGCCAGGCGGGTCGGCAGTATACCAGGGCATTATTGATGACAGCACAGATCAGCCTGGCTGATTGGCAGGACCTGGAAGGACAGACTAGTCACTGGGGGCAGGGAGACATCCCACTCCGCGCCTGTTAGCCCCGCAAACCAATGCCCCAAAGGATAGAATGGTCCTAGCTGGCAAGCAATGAGAAAGCTTGCCAGACAGCGATATCAATGGCTACCTATGCGGTTTTATCTGGTAAGACTCCAGTAGTACCCCAACACACACTGTAGGGTCCTCAACCTTTGGCTTTTGCCAACCTGTGTCTAATATTTTCCAGAATTAGGTGATCAGGATGCATCCCTCCAGGGAAAGAGTGCATTCCAATAAACATCTCTGGAATTTCCACATGGATGAAGAATGCATGGACCTCTAAGTTTGGTTTGGATACTCTTAAGCATCAGGTTGGGTTTCCTCATGTGTCAGACATCTGGCTGACCAAAAAATAGGCTGATGCTATGAGAGGGTGTGCTGCATTATTGGAAATCTTGTCTGATATAAAATTTGTTAAAGATCCCTTGACATTATTTGAAAAGAGAGGGAGTTTCTGCTGGCCAGCAATACTTCAAATAAATTGTTCACTTTCTTGTGCACAAAATGGCTGTCAAATTTACCTACCGAAACAGTGTGAGATGTTTTGACATAAAAATGCAATTTTTTTTTCTTTTGCTGCATATCTCGAACCAAGACAGAATGAGTTATTGTCTGTGCAACTGTTAAAACCTTTAAAGGTTCAAACAGCTTAACTCACAGGAAGTCGATATGGAGAGTATTTGCATTAGATTTGGATTTATATGGTTTAACGGAGATAATGAATCGAAGCTCGACATGAAAGATCCAACAGATGTAGCACTTAAAAAAAAACACGAAACGAGAAAGCAGACGTGAAACTGTTGTGCAAAGTGCGGTTCAAGAGAAACTCCGGATTGAAACGATAGTTAACGCTGTACAACGTTTGCGTTCTGCTTTCAAACCTACACAAATTCTCCCTTCCCAAAAGAAAACCCAAAATGAAGGAATCTGCCCGTTCCCGTTATTAACAGCAATTATTATATGCAAAAAAATTGAAAGCGCAGTTGGTTGAAGTGGAGTCATATATATATCCATTGATCAATCCAACCAATTCTGTGGCAGAATTCCAGAACGGATACTGTGTGTGGTTCACCCCACCTTATTTCTCCTACATTTGTGACACAGTGCAATTAATACTTATTTCCTACCTCAATGCGACAATCTATGAATTCTGATGGCAATGAAGGAATTCTAATAACACAAGTATACAATGCAGAAGAGTAAAGAGAGAGAGGGAGGGAGAGGGGGAAAAAAAAAGCAGGCGATTGATTCAGTGTTTTTGCAAACTTTGGGACAGAGAAAGAGAGAGAGAGAGAGACAGACAGAGAGAGAGAAAAAAAACACCCTGTTTTAGTTGTTTGCCACTCAAGGGATATTTTGTTGAGTGCAGCTTTTTTTTCACACACACAGGTCAGATTATCTTTTAAAAAAAAACAGCAAATAACTTGGCAGGGCAGCAGCAATGGCGTTACAGCTCGAAATTCACCCCCCCCCCCCCCAAAAAAAAAAATTTGCAAAAAAAAAAAAAAAATGCGATTTCCTGTGTTAAGAAGTTATTATCTCGGTTTACCTTTTCGACTGATCCGGGCAGAAAGCGTTCGAGCAGTTTGCAGAGGACCATCCCATCTTTGAGAGACGCCTTCAAAAACTCTTCTGGGTCGGAGACGGTCTTTTTAGGAGAGTCCAAGACGCCGAGTGATATTAGCCATGTTACGTTTTGCTCTGCGGGCGTCATTGTCGGACCTGTACAGCTGCAATTAAGAAACTGGCTGCTAAATTTCGGCGCTGGCTTGTGCTAAACGCGCCCACATCCGCAAACCCCTTCCTTTTCCGCAGTGTAGCACACGAACGGTTCGCTCCGTCTCGCTTGCAAAAGGAAGTCTAGATTTCTGGTGGATTTCAGCATGATTCAGTAGCTCAGTTGTGTATTATATTGCATATATATATTATATATATGTGTGTGTGTGTGTGTGTTTATATATTGCACACCAATGCAGAAGGATAAATCTGCAAACCCACCCCCCCAAAAATGGTAGCTGTTGAAACTGAAATAAAAACGCATTACGGTTCGATACGGTTACGTCGATTGGGTTTTCCAGTGGTGCGATTGGTATTCGGACTCGTGCATTCATCGATGCACTGGCGACCTCTTGGGAGCATCTGGTATCAGCGTTTGCTGAGTGTTTCAATTAACTTTAAAAGCCTGAGCGTACTGTAAGGCGAAGCCAATTCTGAATTCAGGCCGATGTTATAGCTTTGTGCATATTCCTTCAGCACACGAGACATGATGAGCGCCACCTCAAGCTTTTCTTAAGTAATGTGCAAAATGCAACTTATATTCGCGCCAGTTGTAAAGTATAAATAGGGGGAAGAGTTGGAAAGACGTCTGCTTTTAACTTGAGTTCAACCCACAGCACACGAGGTGCTACAAAAGATTCAAGTTCCCAACTACAAGTCTTTCTAATTCAGAGCCTCCATATTGCATAAGAATGTTCCCTCTGCAGGGGAAAGGACTGATTCCTTTATAATAATAATAATAATCTTTGCATTTGATATAGCGCTTTTCACGTCGGGAGGACGTCCCAAAGCGCTTCACAGAACACACTAAAGTGAATTGACTGTATATTTGTGGGCGAACGCGGCAGCCAATTGCGCACAGCAATGTCCCACAAACAGTCGTAGATTGAAAAATTACCAATTTTATTATTGTTTTTTTTTGGAGGGATTATTATTAGGCTCTGTGTGGAGTAAGGAAACTTGCCCAAGGTTTCGCCCTGTCTGGAATTGAACTCAGGTCTCTCGCTTGCAAAGCGAGTGCTCTAACCACTGAGCTATAGGACTCCACATGGGCCAAGCTATCAGTTTGTGCAGGTTGGGGGAATAGGATAAGTAAGTAGGGACACCTTGAGGCTCAGCTGGGTTCAAGATGCTATCCTAATCGGGTCAATTCTGGGGCGATTTCAGTCGTCAAGTTACTGCCCCAGTAGGAATACTGCAGTACTCAAAAGGATACTTACTGTTGAGACATGCCAGGTAGCTTGGTTTTTCAGCAGAACTCTTTTGAGGGTCTGGGATGCTTCCCACTGAGCTATTAAGCCTAAACGTGCCAAACCCCGATGAATAGGGGTATTCCTAGCTACAAGTAGCAGGATGCTTGTCAGACAGTTTTCACAATGTCAAACTATATGGATATGGTACGGTATTAGCTAGTTAAAATTCCAATGCTCTTGGTTCTTGCCACCCTGTATCCAGGTCTTCCCAGAATATGTACAGGAATCAAAAGCAGTGGGAAAGTGCAAATTAGAGGAATCTTGGGACTTCTAACGGTTGGGGGCAAAACGTTCATTTGGTAAGAGGAAAGGGCGGACGACCCTCAAGCAGGCTAGAGAGAGCAGAGAGCAAGTAGGATCTTTTATTACTGGACAAATGCTGCATGGAAACCTACAGTTATTAGGCTATCAACAGCAACAATAAGATTTAATTTATAGAGCGCCTTTCACATCGGGAGGACATCCCAAGGCGCTGGACAATTGGGTCAGGACCCGAGCAGGGGGGGAATGGTCAGGGTGAGGGGAGGGAAGGGAGGGAGCGCGGAGGGGGTAGGGAGTCGAGAGGGGAACTGAAGGCACGATCAGAGAAAGGTCTTGAGACCGGCCTTGAAGGAGGAAAGGGAAGAAGCAAGGCTAAGGAACTGGGGAATGGAGTTCCAGAGCCTAGGGGCTGAGAGGCTGAATGCCTGGCCACCGATGGTAGAGCGGGGGATGTGGAGCAGACCGAAGCCAGAGGAACGGAGGGTACGGGCAGGTAAGTAGGGGGATAGTAGGTCGGAGAGGTAGGAGGGAGCAAGGCCGTGAATGGCCTTGTAGGTGAGGATGAGGATCTTGAATTCGATCCTCTGGGGGATGGGGAGCCAGTGGAGGCGAGCGAGGGTGGGAGTGATGTGGTCCCGAAGCCTGGTGCAGGACAGTACACGAGCTGCAGAGTTCTGAATGACCTGCAGCTTGTGGAGGGAGGCGCCGGGAAGGCCGGTGAAGAGAGAGTTCCCATAGTCCAGCCTTGAGGTGATAATCCTGCAGGCACATTTTCGCATTTTCAACTCTACAGTAATATAAATCATTGTATGTGATTATAGTGCTTTATCATATTGTTATTTTAATGCACAATTTAGCATAAAGTGCAGTGATGGTTTTGCGAATGCAACCACAAATGTGCACAGCTGTAGACACACACAAGATATCAAAGCAAATGACTCATTTTGTTTGGGAGACTGATAGTTAGGAAATAAACATACCACACAAGTGTTAAACAATAAGGTTTTATTTTCAATGGTTCACTGTTGCAGCTGACTTATAAAAGTGCACAAAACAGAACATCCTGTGAGCTAGTTTCCTTAAATATTTGCTACATGTAGCACTCTAAGAATAATGATCATCATGCCAGCCACCAACATTTTATAACATGCTTAAACTCCATGATTAGTAACAAGCAGTGTAGTTAACCTTGTATGTTAAGGTCACCAACCACAGTACAACCATCATATATGGCCCAGGGTGAAAATCAACGCATTGTATAAAAATGCACAGAAGTCTACAAAAAAAGTAAGTGCCCCAGACCTGCAGATTTGATTTTCTATGGAATTAAATTACATAGCAACAGCTTACTGTTTAAGCGAAGCAATCAAATATGTATACTATACCCACACTGTTCACTTGCTTGTACACCTTTAAATGACATATTTGAAAAAATGAAAGGAGTGCAAGATACCTTTCAATATGGGGCCCTTAAATTTTTCAATACTATTTATATAGCGCCCTCCACGCCAGACGACGCCTCAAGTGCACTCCACGTCAGCATGAGACTTCATTCATGTGTAACATTCTGGTTACCTACTTGCAAATACCAACCATATCCCTTAGTTACTCCCATTGGTTCTCCAATTTGAGTTTGAAAACATGAACTAAAAAAACTTTGGAATCTGAAGTCATTCCATCTTTGTTCAAGTACTACAACACTTACTGTCTTGATCATCTTTAATGCACCAATTCATGTGGCTGTAAAAGCCACATGAATTTGCTCAATTCCATAATGTCATGCAAGTCAGAAAGAAGCCACAGAATCTAGATTTTATTTTTAGATACAGCAAAACTTGATAACCCACTCCTGGGATAAGTTATCACCCCACACAACTGGTCACTCAAGATCCTGGCTATTTCCCATAACAAGTCATCCTTTACAGGATCTTGTAAATTCATCAGGTTTTCACTTTTCAGAAAGTGGTGCCATGTAAAATACTTCATAATAATCCTTGTATTTGATTGAGTGCTTTTCACGTCTTCTCGACATCTCAAAGCGCTTCACAGAATATGCTGTAAAATGAATTGACGGTACATTTGTGGACGAAACACTGCAGCCAATTGCGCACAGCAGTGTCCCACAAACAGTTGTGGGCTGAAAATGACCAAATTATTATTGTTTTGGAGGGATTATTATTAGGTGCATGGAGTAAGGAAACTTGCCCAAGGTTTTGCCCTGCCTGGAATTGAGGTGTCTCACTTGCAAGGTGAGTGCTCTAACCAGTGAGCTACAGGACTCGCACTACTTCTGATAACCTGGTATTTGATTGAGACAGTAACCTGTATGTGTTTTCAGTTATATATTTGTGAATACCTGTTTGTGTATAGATATTTTAAGACTTGAGCATGCATTTTGAAAATAAAAAAATGTAAAAGCTTCTTTCCCATCCTGATAAAAGTACCCACACATGTGGTTGGTGAGGGAGTGGACTGGTTGATATCTAATTTTATATTCAATGAAATATCTTACGCTACTGAATTGGCTATTCAAATCAGTATCTTCACCCTCTTAATTTATAAGAGACAAAATGTCTTATTGCCAAGAACGCAATAACCAATTGATGTAGACATGATTTATAGCTCATCGCAAAGGTCTTTCATGGGGGAGTGTCGTGGGTATACTTTTTCCAGGGATCTCCTATCGTTGATAAGCTGTATTTAAAACATGTTTAAATTAAGCCCCAAAAAGGTATGCATGGTATTCAGCAACAAAGTAGCAACAGAGGTCATACACCCTTCGAGAGATACATCTATGATACTAATAAATATGAAATGTCCATCTGTGTGTGTCTACCTGATTGACAAAGACATCAACAGCAGTCTTCCCAAAAGGATGTGTGCAAATATGTGAACAGGGGATGCTAATGAGTTGAACAGCACATTTTCTTAATCTTCATCAACGATAAATAAAAATTCCAGTCAAAATTGAGAAGGCTGATTAAATGAAAGTGGTTGCAAATGTAGCTGCAATGGATATAGCTAGTACAGTATACAACACTAAAATAACAGCATGTGTGCTAATTATTAAATAAAGCACTGCTACAGAGTGGCCTATATAGTATGGCTAATAGCAATATGTTGGGTAACTCGTCAACTCTGATAATTTGTTATTTGAGCTATCCACTGCCCTCCACCCCTCGATTCCAACCCCCAGATTGGGCACAAATCTGAGTGTCCAGCGCCTTACAAGATCCCCCTGATGCAAAATGCACTATATAAATACACTTTATTATTTCCCTTGGGGGTAACAAGTTATCAGAATTTCACTGTGGGTACTTTATAGTATTTAGTAATGCACTGAAAAGGCTAGACAGAAAACAAATCTTAAAAACCCTTGCATCTGTTGTACATAATCAAACAGGATTTTGACTTCTCCACTCAGCTTCTTTGTTCTTTGACATCTACCTCGTTAACATTCAGACATTGTGACCTGGAAAAAACAAATATACTAGTTTAATTCGACTTTCTCCAATGGATCAGTGAGTTGATGCATTGCACAGCCAAGCTTCAAGTTGATTCAATACGCCTGTTTACTGAGAGTTCAACCAGGGAACCAATGGGAGTGTGATTAATTCACTTCAGCTTTGTGGATTGGTGGGTGGGGTGGGGGGAGAGAGTAAGTGACAAAAATATTTTAAAAAAACCAAACATTCCTCTTTACTGCTATGTAGCAACCCAGGCAGGATATTGTTTGGTTATGATGTCCCGATAGTCATATAACCCTGCCAACACTAGTAGCAAGCAGCAAGCCTTACACATTGAAAATGATCTCTTGGGTGAAAATACTAGAGGCTATCCAGGGAAGGAAAAAGGAGGTAACAATTCTAGCTTTCTGGCGGGGAAAGAAAAGGTTGCAATCTAAATGAAACAAAGTCTGCTAAACAATGGACAACAGCCTTTCTGCTACCAGAAGTATGAGTCAATCTCCTATTAGCAGGACTTATCTGGTCTGGCCTCATCCTTTTCCAGCATTCCATAATTCAAAAAGTTACAACAGTATTACTAAAGCCAAGGTAACAGAGCTGATGTTTTAATTCACCAAAAATTTATGGAAGAACTCAAATTGTGGACAAAAATCTAAGAAGGATAGGTTCATTTATTCTGATTAATCCAAACTTATTTTCTCGTGGGCAGACCAACTCATATATTGATTTCTAATGTCCTTATAAAACAATGGCATCAGTCTCAAAATTACAAAAATTAAACCAAGTGAATCTTAACATGCAAGAGCTAAACCAAAATAGGAAGTAAACGTGTACCGTTTTAGAAGGTCATTGCTGAAACTTGTACACTTGATGCCCAACTTGTAGATCTTTAATATCTCCCAAAAGCAAAAGTTTACTGCCTCATCCTGCAAAAAATATAAGTCTCAGTTTATACTGTTAAAGTAGATTTTATCAGGTTTAACATTAATGCTTAAAATTTCTATAATATTTTGACTTTATAATCATTGGCAAAAAAGACATTACATTTTTTCTGCAGGTCATCCAGTCCAGACGTTGTTGAAAGTTCATTTGTCCAACAGGGTGCTTGAGAAGGTTTGCTTTGCAGGTAGTTTGTGAGTTTCGATATTGTACAGTATTCCATTGCAATTTTTATTGAAACATGAAGGATATAACCGGTGATCGTTGGACTTCTTTATGGAAGTTCATTAGGATAAATAAAAAGGCGTTTTTGCTGCTTACCTACACAATTCCATTGCATTTTTTAAAAAAAATATGAGGAAGATTATATCTGATGATCGACGCACTTCTTTATAAGCAACGGGTTTCATTTAGTAAGCAACTTAGGCTGTTGCTTACATACATAATCTCTTGTTTTAAAAATATGAACATGAGGAAAGCTATATTTGCTGATCGATGCGTTTCCTTACACAATCAGGTTTCATTTAGAAGGTAACATAACATTTACGTTGCTTACCGGAGTTGTTCTTTTCGCATAAAAGCCCCTTTCAATCGGTTGCGATTGTCCTAGATTCAACTGCCTTGCCTAAGGCTCTGGCCTTTGAACACTGACAGGCCATTGCAAGAAGATTCTTTGTACGTCTTTTGATGCTTAATTCTTTAAGCCATAGTGATTTCCTTTTAAGGTGAGACACTACACTTGCAGAACACTGAGTCACAAAAGTGCTTTAATGACATTTGGGAAATTAAGATTTGTATCCATTTAAGTGAGAACTTAAAACAAATCACTTTAAAGATACTCACTGCTGAAGATTGATTATTTTTTTATCTGCTTGCTTCAGCGTCAGCTGTGACTGGAGCCTTAAAGTTGAATGTTGATCTGTAACTGGACGAGACTGAAACACAACTGGTATATTTTGAAATTGTAAAGGTTTCATTGGGCAGTGTACGAATGCTCATCTCCATTGGTTGCTGTTAGGTGAATTCAGGAGCCTGGACTCTTTTTTTCCTCCCATTTTGTAATGAAAACTAGGCTAAAAGATTTGTTTCGCACTCTCCCCAAAGCAGTTTTGTTAAACAACATACATTTTCACTGAAAACGTTTTAAGTCTTTATTTCACAATAGCACTGGTGCAACAAAGTAAAATCTAGCTCTATGTATCCATATGTACATATGGAAAAAAAGCCACAGACAGTAGCACTGTTATACCAACATTAACTTTTAAACATTTACCAGTCTCTGCACCATTCCCATTAGAATGTACAAATGGAGTTTTTTTTAAAAAAAACAAACCCAAAACCTCTAACAATAAAACAGCAAACCAAAAACTTTGTTGTCCTCTTGCAATGACAAGTACTTGGCAGTCCTTTCACCTCAGTTAGTTTGTTGTAATTTCAGTAGGGTAAAACAGCACTAAGAGCAAGGGTGTTTTGGTCCAAGTTTATATCAAGTTCAGCTTTAGTATCTGCTTCGGCCACTGCCCCTGTCAGAGCGGTTTCCTCCACGCCCTGATCCACGAGTACCCCCACGGCTGGAGTTGTTGTATGAATCTCGTGGAGGATAGCCTCTATCCATCTGAAGAGCTGGCCCTCTATCCTGTCTGCCAATACGATCACTGCGGCTACTAGAGTAAGTATCGCTTCTGCTGGAGTAGGTATCGCGGCTTCCACTATATCCATCACGAGAGCTGGTACTGTAGTCATCATAACGACCATTTCCACCGTAAGATGGTGGTGGCCCTCGTGCAGGTGGAGCACCACGTGAATTACCTGCAGGGTCAATTGTCAGGTCACATGGAACGTTTTGAAATATTCCTTACATTTTAAAAGATTTTACTCACTTACTGCAGCTTGGTTGAAATTTGCATTTTTTTAAAAAAAAACGACTGCAGTTGCAGCATTGAGAGATGTCCCCATCTTTGGAGGGGAGATCGTTTGAGCAAGGAGTGAAGTGTTTTTTTTTTGAAATGCAAGACTTAACTCATTTTGGTAGTGTCTCACATTGCCATCTTTCCAGCAACGAATGGGGAGGTTATGCAGCAATGTTTCCAGCCTATAGGTTTTGGTTGTGCACATGTATCTTATTATGACTTTAAAGTTGAATAGACATTTTCTTAAATGGCTAGGCATTTTGTTTGAAGGATGCTGCTCGTCAGCAAGTTTGCTCGATTTTTGAGGTTGATTTGCTTTGCTGTGGAATTCAATTGTCATTTGCATTCAACTGGCTTTATCACTGTAGAAACAACTTTGTGAAATTCAAAAGCATTCAATGAACATTTTATGCACAACGTTAGAAAAAGTGCATCCTATGGTCTCAATACTTATTTTCTTACCTAGTAAAAAAATGAATGAGAAGGTTGATAAATTAACATAAAACCTGAAACTATATAATTGAGATTTGACTTACCATAGCCGTCATACGATTCTCTGTAGGATCCACCACTTGGACGATCTCCAGAATAGTCTCGAGCATCCCGCCCCCCACCATATCCATCACGATCACTGAAATTGAAGTCAGCAGTTAAAGTGTGTACTAGGATTCTAAAACCAATCCATAAATTATGGCATAGATTAAACAACTATCCATACCTATATCCCCGTGATCCATATTCATCACGTCCACCATAGTGAGAATATTCACGAGAACTGTAGGAATCTCTTGGAGGTGGACCATAATCCCTGGTGTCCCTGGAGCTTGGATAGTCTCTGACAGAGTAACTACAATATGAAAAAAAGATTAGAATCAAGTTGCTAGGGAATCTAGTCCAAGAGAAGTAAACTCAGCAACAGAAATACCAAATAGACGTTTCCCACCATACTTTAACGAGAATTTTCTTAAATGTTGTTCTTCCCCACACCCCTCAAAGGATATGGATATGAATGTACCCGTCTCTGCTGCTGTAGTAATCATCTCTTGGAATATAATCATCTCTCCTAGATGGCATGATATCCCTGCGAGATGGAGGTGAACCGTAACTGTCTCTTTCACGCGAGGGAGGTCCTAGAATCAAAACATTATGATCACTTAAATACCAAAACTGAACAGGTATTCAAAACTGAAAATTATGAAGCATTACAATAATTATCTTACCTCTTGAGCCTCTTCCGCCCATTCGCATTAATCCTGAGGGAACAGGTCTTTTAGGTGGTGGGGGCCCTTCATTTCGCTCTGGGGGCCCCCTTTTCATTGGTGGTCCTCTGGATGAGCCTTCTTAACAAAAATAATAGCTTCTCTAATTATACATTCATTGCAACTGAACACACACAAAAATTATTTTAAATATATCTTCAAATGGTACAAACATTTGCGTTGCTTCCTGAAGAGGTGCAGCATTTTATAAAGGAATTAGTGTTAAAACAGAGTCAAAATGTGCTTTTTGTTATTTGAAATCTAATCATATTCTGTAGCTTTTACAATAAGGGATACAAATTCTCAAATATTGAGAACATTCAAACTAGATTGAGAGACCATCTTAAGAGACATGCTTTAAGCAAATTTTCTGGATTGCCAAATAAATTAAGATACTTGACTTTAAACTGAACATGCTTTATCATTCAGTGGTTTATCAAGTTTTACATTTTCATATTCTACATCGCATTACCATGATGCTTGCCAATAACACGTTTAAAAAAACAGCCCTTCTTGCCCTCCAATTCTCCCCTTAGTTTAGAATCACAAAACAAGGGAAAAGATGCTATATTTCATGGAATATAATCTTCCACCCCGACCCCCAGCTTGGGTCCAAATCCGACTGTCCAGCGCCTTGGGACGTCCTCCTGAAGTGAAAGGCGCTATACAAATGTATTTTTTTATTGTATATAAATAACTGGTGTACACGTACAAAATTCAGACCCCCCCCCAAAAGCTATGAAACACAGCCCCTGGAATTGTGTCTTCTGTGACTGCTCAATTTGCTTCTTATGTCAGCTTCAATTTTTGACAGATCAGTTTAANTTTTTTATGTTTCATGACAAGGGTATATTTAATTGTCACCATTTTCTTCCCATGCTTTATCACTGACAAAATATCAATGGTATACAAAACTTTTTTTTGCAAAATGTAACTAGTAGTTTAGATATAATTAGACAAATTAGACAAGTTTTCTTTTAGGAAATAACATTGTGGGATATAGCACATAGGTAGTAATTCGGGCCATATATGTGCATGGGACCACCAGGAAGATGGAAGGCAAGCTAAATGAACCTTGGTCTTCTTTCATCTATCATTTCTTATGTTCTTATATTGTACTTTGAAGCCTTACAAAAGAGTTAGAATATACCTGTATAATTCCTCTTATGGTATTGAATATCATGCATTAGATTCCTCCAATAAATATGCAATAAAACCTCATAGAATGCCAGTGACTGTAATAGACAATTAATGCAGCTTCCAAAGCCATCAGAGAATCCAATATATAAAAGAAATATAGTAAAAGTACATAGCACTATCAAGAACTAAATGCACAAATTAGTACCGAAGTACAAATAACACCAACTTGAAATACTCTGAACTCAAATCAGTTGACGTGCTGAATTCCTGGGACTGAACCCTATATGCTCTTGCTCCTCTCTCCTCTCCATACCCCACCCCCCACTCAGGACCAGTGCATTATGTTCCAACCTCATCCAATCTACATTTTTATTTGCCCAGGGCAGTCGTGTGAAGCACCTCAAGATGTCCTCCCAGCCTGAGAAGTATTATAAATATAATAGTGTTGTACTGGTACAAAATTCAGACCCTTTCCCTGCCTTCATCAAAAAATGCAATTCATCAAGATTGCCCCCCGGCCTGACGTCTTCTGTGATTGCTGAGATATGGGGTAGCACAACTTTGCTTCTTTTATGGCAGTTTCAATTTTTTGACAGATCAGTCAGTTGTTTCAGGCAGTTACCTTTTGGAGGTGGCCCTCTCATTCCTCCACTACTGCCTCTTCCACCTCGAATCCCCCTAGGAGGACCACGGCTTCTTGGGAGTGGGGGTGGTCCACGGCGTCCACTATTTTCAAATGCTGGTTTAGTAGCTTGCTCTACTTTAATAGGCTTTCCATCCAAGGACTTTAAAAAAATTGAGACGGAGTAATAAAAATGTTTGTAGTGCACTGGATTCAACTTCAAGGGCTTGTTAGCTTTATTAAGGTTTTACTATCAATTGGGTTGAGGGGACAAGGTACAAAGAGTCCTAGGTTGGATCTCCCTTTTCAAGGTTTCAATAGCGTCATACACATGTACGACATGTCATTTTCCATGCAATTACCTATTTAATTTAAAATACAACCACTCGTGTTCAACACCATCACTTATAAAAAGTGATACTCGTATGGAATTGAACTCAAAAAAGTTTCAGCTTCATAAGCAACTCCGATTCCAAACAATTCAGCAATGAGAAGATTTAAACTGTGGGTACCATTGCTGTCATATTTTACTTAGATCAGCATCTTCTTCTGGATTGTTGCTTTGTTTTAAAAAATATAATAGCATAGCTATACAATGTAGGAAATCTTGCATCAAAATAATAACTCAGTTTAACTCAAATACTTTCAAAAAACCTACAAAAGATCTCAAACTCAAGTCCAGTTGTACAATAAAAGCTCAGAACTTCTTAGAGGAAAATAAGGCAAAATCAGTTCAAAGTGTCAGTGCCAGTGAAGTCATCATTGCTTAAAATTATACAAAATGTATTCCTGTAATGTTAATGTTCCTTCAGTGTATACATATATATGATATATAGTACACTTACTTATGCAAACATTAATTGTTGGTATTACTCACTGTATTGCATTGTGATATTAACAGCACTACAGGCTGTACTGGAAAAGATTTTCAGACGTATCGTAAGAACAGCAGCACAGCTCATTAAAATGCCAACTCCTGTCACTGCAGATAGGTTCAGATCTGAAGACTATAATGCTGAGTTCTTGATCTCAGCTAAGGAGATGTAATGAGATGTAGTGGGAAGAGCGGAGAAACAACCGAACACAAGGCGTCACCTTCAGGCCATTTACACTGCAATGACCAGTTATAAGAACATAGCTTTAGAGGATTCACAACCCTAACAATGCCGCCCTGCCATCTAGATATTTTCCAAACATTTGGTTCAATATTAGACATCCATTCAAATTAATGTTCCAGGAACAAAAATCTTGTTATTGGGGGATGAAGTCATTACTGTACCAGCTATAAAAAAACATTACTATCATCAATATCAGTTAAGTTTCTACCCCCCTCCCCCAAACACACACATAAATCTAAATGGTTTTCTTAACAAACGGCATCTTACCTTCCCATTCATATCCCTGGCAGCATCTCTGGCATCTGCTGGGCTTTCAAATGTAACAAAAGCAAACCCCCTCGATTTGTTTGTTTCTCGATCTTTCATTAGAAGAACTGCCAAAGAGACAAATGATTAACAGATGTTCTACCTCAAATGTGTATTCTCTGCAATTTGAAAAATGAGCTCAGAACTTCTTAGAGGACAATGAGGCTAAATCATTTTATAAGGTTCACTGCCAGCAAAGTCATCACTGCCCAGACCAATTACATAAAAGATAATCCTGCAACATTCCCTCTATGCATATACAACGTGCATAATTTCTGCACATCAACTTGGGGCCTAGCCTAACCATTACAAATATTTAGTAAATGGTTGATTCAAGGAAATAGTTAGCACTCTCCCTAAATCACTTATGACATCCATTTTCTCCTTGTAGGGCACATACTTCCCATTCATATTTTATTAAATGCTTAGAGGGAATGTCCGTCGCACCATTACTTTTAACATACCTTCTACTATTCTGCCATATTTTCCAAACACTGACTCAAGTGCCTTTTCATTGGTTTCGGTATTTAGTCCACCGATGAACAGCTTCCCAGGACGATCTGCTTCCACCATTTTGATTATAAAATTACCTACAGAAGTTATATTTACATTAATCTAAAGCTTGCATTAAACAAAATGTGTTCATTTCATGGTTACAAGATGCAACGCAATAAGCAAGAGTTTATAGGTCAAATGAATATTGTACATGCATTTTAAAAAAAAATAATAATATTTGTTCCCTGAAGGCAGAAGAATCTAGGGTGGGTCAACAGATGAATTCCTGATTACTTGCAGAGCAACCAGGGCACTCCTAGCAAACCCACCTGAAAGAATTTCTTCAGTTTCCATCTTTATTCTCAACTTTAGAATGGTAATTAGGGCAATAACAAAGTTACAAACTTAGTGATGTTCTTACAACCTGCAATGATGCTCGTGTGCAAAGACAATGTTATATTTTTAAAAGATTTTTTTTAAATGCCCAGTTTGAGCAAGTCCTTGCTATTTTGGTAGATTTTGGTAAATCAAGCTAGACGAACAGATGGGGCCAATAATCGAGCATCGTCCAAGTATCTCTGTAGCAGTCAGGAAAGTGCTGTGACTAAATCATGAATTCTAGCCACGAGCGCCAAAAATTATTTTGTGAAAAGCAATTTTTCTCAATCTCTATGACTTCCAGCAGTTACGCTCTCGGACAAAGGGGCAAAGCAAGTTCGGTCACCAACCAACCGCACGTGGTCATCAGGGCACACGTTGTACGTAGTTCACGTTTTATCAATTGTTTTGGTGCAGTCAATGAATATGACCGTGTGCTTATGTGTTGGGGAGATAAAAGGCGGAATAGGTTCCTTGCATACACAGTAGAATGCAACCTTGAGCTCCAGCCTCTCGCCTAAACATAAAAATCTCTGGCTCTTGTGGACGAATCCCATTCACTGCCTCCAAAAGCCCTCCACCTCATCTCCCTGCACACTTTCCATGACATTACTCTCACCACGTCACGAGAATAGCGCGTGCAGAAAAAATTAGGGAGTTCAAACGAGGTGTTTTCTCTCCCCCCCCCCCCCCACACACAAAAAAAAATTAAAAATCACTCGCCGAAAACTGAAGGCAGTGGGGGGGGGGGGGGGGGGGGGAGTTGTCAGCCCCGTCCAAAAAAAAAACCCACACACACACACACATCGACCGCAGATTTTTCTGGGCTTCGGTGTGGGTTACACCCCATGTGCACCCCGAATAAAGGAGGGTCCGTTGTTCGGGTGAGAAATTTGCGTGCGTTAAGCAGCACGCGTTTTGAATCATTTGCTGGTTTCATTTCAACTCTCCTCACTCTCTCTCTCTCCCCCCCCCTCCGCCGCACCACCCACCCAACCCCCCGAACTCAAGAGGGACCCTCTCCTTCTCCCCCAACACGATGCCGCCACTCACAAAATGGCGGCCTTCACCTCACTGAATGGCGCACCGCTCCAGAAGCGCGAATGAAAAAAAACAGTCGCGACGGCAGTTATTCAAAGCCTACAATTCCCCCATCTCCCCCTCCTCTTCCTCCTCCTCCCCACCCCACCAACAGTCTCGCGGCCTTATTCCCCCCCCCCCCACCCGGCGCCACCGCCGAGCTCTTCTGGGTGCGGAGCCGCGGGTTTTTAAAAAAAATGCAAACCCCCCCCCCCACCCCACCTCCTCTCCCTCCTAACAAAACCTATCCTAACATGGCGACGGGGGGGGGGGGTTACTGCGCCCCCGCCCCCGAAAACCGAATGAATTAGAAAGCCCTCACCTCACCTCACACGCAGTGGCACACCCGCACGTCGAGAACGCAACTTAGAAATAAAAACTCCCGTCACGAATCGCAAGCGCTGTCGCCCGTGGGGTGGGGGGGGGCGGGAGAGGTGGGGGGGGGGGGCGGGAGAGGTGGGGTGGGGGGGGGCGGGAGAGGTGGGGGGGGGGGGGCGGAGAGGTGGGGTGGGGGGGGCGGGAGAGGTCGGGGGGGGGTGGGGGGGGAGAGGCCGCGTGAGAGACAATAGGCGAGAGGCCAACTACAACGGTCATACCTACCGACCGACCGAACAGACGCCGCCCGCACCACAGAAGCAAATGAGCGACCCGCGCCCGCCCGCCCGCCTTTTATTATACCGTCAGCGGCCAGAGCGAGGCTGCGAGCCCCGGATGTCGGTGTCCAACAGCGCCCCCCACCGCCACTAACCGCACACCTCCCCTCCCCCATCTCCCCCCCCCCCACCCTCACACAACCCCTGCCCCCCCCCCCGCCACACCTACCCCAACCCCCCCCCACCCACCACCTGAACACCTACCTCCACCCCACAGACACACACACACACATACACGTGGGGCTCAGTGCCATTCGTCCCCCACCAAATGACTGTCAATGTTCCCCTCCTGCAACCAGCTCAGGTAGTAATAAATCCTTGCAATTTTTGGTGATTTTTTTTTTGTACTCAATTTATGACTTCAAGTCTTCTAAATATCTTTCCGGGGGTGTGTGTGTGTGTGTGTGTGTGTGTGAAGCGTAAAGCGCTTTTGAGATGTCTCAATTACGCGATAAGGCGCTATACCAAAATGCAAGGATTATTATTATTTTTGGCTGCTACCTTTGCCCTCCTGTGTGCGTTTGCACCGTTTCTGTTCAATTGCCCAAGAGCAAAGCACAGACTTCCATAATAATAATCCTTACATTTGATATAGCGCCTTATCACGTCTTCCAGACGTCTCAAAGCGTTTCACAGAATATAATGTAAAGTGAATTGATTGTATATTTTGTGGGCGAAACGCAGCAGCCAATGGCGCACAGCAGTGTCCCACAAACAGTCGTGGATTGAAGTGACCAAATTATTATTTTTTTCTTGAGGGATTATTATCAGGTGTGTGGAGTAAGGAAACTTGCCCAAGGTTTCGCCCTGACCATCCATAAGCTCCATCTCATCCACAATTTGGTTGCTCGTGCTTACTCATACTAACCATATTACCACTGCAATTGCCAGGCTCCACTGTATTCCAGAGGATCCACTTTTAAGATCCTCATCTTCACCTACTTTCCTTTGCCCCTCTCTAATGTTGTGACTTTCTCCTGCTTGTCTCTCTCCACTTTGGCAAACTTCAGTCTACTGTATATTCCTTACCTTGCCTTCAGTCAATATCCTCTGATACATTATGACATTTCTTCACTAAACACCTTAGCATGACCCCCTTTCTGTCCAACACAGTCCCCTGTGCAAAACACTGCATACTGCTTCTTGTCAACCTCTTGAGAAGATACCCTTCGCTCCTACCCTTTGCTTTCAGTTTCCTTTCCATTCTTTAATCCATTTTGCTACCTCTGCCAATGATTCTAAATGCTAACTTCTAGTCAGGAGATGTCTTTCAAAGCCTCCTGAAAACCAACCTTTTCAACTATGCCAATAATCATTGCCCTCGTGTCCCATGCTCGTTGACTAGCACAGTCTCTGGAAAGGTGTTTTGAGACCCGAATCAACAAGGAGTTGACATCATCTTTTATCATCTTCTATACTAATAAAACGACAATGTGTGTCTGTGTGTCAGCCAATATCTCAATAACCAATTCAGTAGAGGCACGATTTATACCTTGCAATTGGGACTGTCCTGGGCATATTCCTTTCTGGGGATCTCCTATTGCTGATGAGTTATGACCTCAACAAGCTCATCACACATGTATGGCAGTTTTATACTGCAGTTACACCTGGTGGCCGTGCTGACTCCCAGTGGTGCTGTGGCATGCATCACAGAACACATACATACACATGCACGCAGCGCGCATACATTCAGACGAAGCCAAGCACCGGGAACAAGCTAAAGATGCCTAAGTGAACATCAAGCCTTTCAAGTACAAATACAAATGCCAGACAAAAGAAAGAAAGCCAATTAAGTGAAACTGAAGAACAAAGAACAGCACGGCTGCATTGCAGTAACTCGAGGACCTGCCGGATCACACAGTAAACCCTTTCGGTTAGCATAGCTTTGAAAAGATCTATCATTCATGAGCTATGACCCTTTGATAGGATCTTCTATCTTTCACAAGCTATGACTCAAACAACAACAACAAGATTACATTCGTATAGCGCCTTTCACATCGGGAGGACGTCCCAAGGTGCTGGACAGAGTACGGCATTTCAGATCGAGCTGGGGTTGTGGGGGTAAGGGAGGGGAGGGGAAGTGGCCGATGGCATGGTTGAAGAAGAGGGTCTTGAGGCGGGACTTGAAGGAGGCTAAGGAGGGGGCGAGACAGAGTGACTGGGGGATGGAATTCCAGAGGTTGGGGGTAGAGTGGCTGAAGGCTCTCCCGCCAATGGTGGGGCGGGTGGGTGGGGGGGACGTGGAGCAGGCCAGAGCCAGCTGAACGGAGGGAACGGGTGGGTTGGTGGGGGGTTAGGAGGTCGCAGAGGTAGGGTGGGGCAAGGTCATGGAGAACCACGATTTTGAACTGGATCCTCTGAAAGATAGGGAGCCAGTGGAGTCGGGCGAGAGTGGGGGAGATGACGTCACGGAGTTTGGTGCGGGAGAGGATACGGGCTGCCGAGTTCTGGATTATCTGCAGCTTGTGGAGGCAGGAGTTGGAAGGCCGAAAAGCAGGCCATTTGCATAGTCGAGCCTGGAGGTGATGAAGGCATGAACAAAAGTTTCAGCGGCCTGAGGGGTGAGGTAGTGGCGGAGTCAGACGATGTTACGGAGGTGAGGGAAGGCAGAAAAAACAAGCTCATTGCACATGTGGCAGTTTTGCTTAGGGTTTATAAGTTAAATGGTTTGTGAGTGGTATGACTGAAATCTACATTACATATTGGATCCTTTGGTAGCAAGTATAGCTGCAATGGTTACAGCTAGTACACTATACAAATACAAGTCGCTAATGTTACCACCATCCCTTTGCATAAAATGGCAGAGCCAGCAAACCGCATGGGAAGCGAAAAGCCCAGGATAGCTAGAAAGTGGGCTGGTTACCTGTTTCATCTGAATGACTTTCAACCCATTGAAGATGAAGAGTACCAGTGACTCCACTGCACTCACTTGCCCCTGCGGCAACCTAAAATAAAACTCCACAAGCGCTCTGCACTCTCCTCTCCCCACAGCTTGAGTAGTGTGAGCAACCAGGAAGCGGTGAGCGGCCGCCTCCAGATCAATTCATTCCGATTGCCATCTGCATCAGCTAATCAATCAGTCACAGTTCAACAGGCCAAATGCTCCCACGGACTACTCAGAGCAGCGACAAACATTTCAATGGAGCAATTAATCGTTAGACAGGGTTTTTCTTTGTGGAGGGAAGTTGGATGGTGCCAAATCTAAAAATGGCGCAAGACACAACTCTGCCTTGATAGTTAAAACATGGGACTGGCCTACAACAACAACTTGCATTCATATAGAGTCTTTCACGCGGGGTAGAGTCCCGGAGAGCTTGGCAGTGGCAGAGTCTGATGAGGAGGAGAGGGTTTGGGAAGAATTGAAGTTCCATGTTTCAGGAAGCCTATACAATTGATGTCATTGTCAATAAAGATTATGAACTTTATGTGTACAGTAATAATAATCCTTGCATTTGATATAGTGCTTTTCATGTGTTCTAGATGTCTCAAAGTGTTTCACGGAATATACTGTAAAGTGAATTGACTGCAGCCAAATTGCGCACAGCAGTGTCCCACAGTCGTGGATTGAAGTGACCAATTTTTTATTGTTTTTTTGCAGTAAGTGATTTCCATTAGATTTTAATGAGGACATATATTGAACAGAAAGATGTTGGTTCCCATTCAATTTGCAAAACTCTACCATTGTTTGTAATAACATTTTAAAAACATTTGACAGATTAAATTTATCCATTTTCTTTAAGAGAAATACAGATGCAGAGTTTGGCTCAATAGGTACTTTTGTTATTCTGGGTTCCAAATTCCACTTTGGAAATTGAGCTCACTGTCCAGGGTGTCATTCCTGTGCTGTATGTGGTGCTGTGTATTGAGCCCTGTGCTGTATGTAGTACTGTGTACTGAGCGCTGTGCTGTATGTGGTGCTATGTATTGAGCCCTGTGCTGTATGTAGTGCTGTGTACTGAGCCCCGTCGCTGTATGTGGTGCTGTGTATTGAGCCCTGTGGCTGTATGTGGTGCTGTGTATTGAGCCCTGTGGCTGTATGTGGTGCTGTGTATTGAGCCCTGTGGCTGTATGTGGTGCTGTGTACTGAGCGCTGTGCTGCATGCGGTGCTGTGTATTGAGCCCTGTGGCTGTATGTGGTGCTGTGTATTGAGCCCTGTGGCTGTACGTGGTGCTGTGTATTGAGCCCTGTGGCTGTATGTGGTGCTGTGTATTGAGCCCTGTGGCTGTACGTGGTGCTGTGTATTGAGCCCTGTCGCTGTACGTGGTGCTGTGTATTGAGCCCTGTGGCTGTATGTGGTGCTGTGTATTGAACCCTGTGGCTGTATGTGGTGCTGTGTATTGAGCCCTGTGGCTGTATGTGGTGCTGTGTATTGAACCCTGTGGCTGTATGTGGTGCTGTGTATTGAGCCCTGTGGCTGTATGTGGTGCTGTGTACTGAGCGCTGTGCTGCATGTGGTGCTGTGTATCGAGCCCTGTGGCTGTACGTGGTGCTGTGTATTGAGCCCTGTGGCTGTACGCGGTGCTGTGTATTGAGCCCTGTGGCTGTACGCGGTGCTGTGTATTGAGCCCTGTGGCTGTATGTGGTGCTGTGTACTGAGCGCTGTGCTGCATGCGGTGCTGTGTATTGAGCCCTGTGGCTGTACGCGGTGCTGTGTATTGAACCCTGTGGCTGTATGTGGTGCTGTGTATTGAGCCCTGTGGCTGTATGTGGTGCTGTGTATTGAGCCCTGTGCTGTGTTTCGAGCCCTGTGGCTGTATGTGGTGCTGTGTATTGAGCCCTGTGCTGTGTATCGAGCCCTGTGGCTGTATGTGGTGCTGTGTATTGAGCCCTGTGCTGTGTATTGAGCCCTGTGGCTGTATGTGGTGCTGTGTACTGAGCGCTGTGCTGCATGCGGTGCTGTGTATTGAGCCCTGTGGCTGTACGTGGTGCTGTGTATTGAGCCCTGTGGCTGTACGCGGTGCTGTGTACTGAGCGCTGCGCTGTGTACTGAGCCCCGTGCGGTGGGAGCTCCCATAAGGCAGCGCGAGGCAGGCGCACGTCACGTCACGGCTCGGCCCTGACCGCCCGCCGCCGCCGCCACCGCCGCCGCCCGGATACTCGAGGCTGCGACATCCGCCAGAGGAGCCGTCGCCGCCGCCGCCGCCGCCAACGGACGCGGGAAGAAGCGATGAAGGCCGGAGGCGCTCGGCGGGGTTGGGGCGTCGTCTGCCCTCTCTTGGCGCTCGCGTTCGGGCTGGCCACAGGCTTCTACCTCCCGGGGTTAGCGCCCGTCAGCTTCTGCGAACAGGCGAGCCTCTCGTGCAAGGTAAAGGCCGCGCTCCCTGCCCGCGGGCGCCGTCGGTCTCTCTCCCGCCCGAGACCGGTTGTTTCCCCCCCCCCCCCCATCCCCACCCCACCCCACCCCATCCCGGTCGGGCTGAGGCGGCCTGGGCCTGACGAGAGGTACCGGGCTCTGCCCTACCCCCCCACCCACCCACCAGCACCGCCCAGTCCCCGGTGGAAGGTTCTGGTCCGTCGGGGGCAGCTCTGGCCTCTGGCGTTGATGTACCGAACGGCACATAGAAATGAGAGCAAAATGAAGCGTTCATTTCTGGGGGGGAGAGGGGGAGAGGGGCTGGACTGCGAAAAGCAGAAAATCCTCCGAAATCTAATAATAATAATAATAATAATCATCATCATCGTCATCATTAGTGTTTGACACAGCGCCCTGTCAAGCGGTTGAGGCGCCTCGAAGCGCTTCACGGGCTATGCCGTCGTCAGGCGAACTAATCGGCTGTGTGTTTTTGCGGGCGGAACGCGGCAATCAATTAATTGCACGCAGCGGTGCCCCACAAACAGTTGTGGATTGAGCCACCAGACTATTGTTGGTATAATGAGAATCCTCGCATTTGATGCAGTGCCCTTATCACGTCTTCGAGACGTCTCAAAGTGCTTCACCGAATATACCGTAAAGTGAAAGTGACTGTATATTTGGTGGGCGAAACGCGGCAGCCAATTGCGCGCACACGAATGATATGTAATAAGGTATTCTCCATTTTATTTAGCAAATTAATGTTGCGTCAAGGTTCCTCCATCAACTTTGATCAATTCTTTAGCTGTATGTGGAAAGTTTCTATGTCTTATTTCATTTTTTCATTTTTCAGTCGGATATAGAAGTGTTTGTAAACAGATTGGACTCAGTAGAATCCGTCCTTCCTTATGAATATGATGCGTAAGTATTATAAATATTTCAGTGTCATTATCCCTGGTGTACCAGCAGTGAAGGTAAAGTTAGTGCCTTATTTTAATGCTCCAGGATGCTGCAATCGAGTGTTAGGATATTACAATACAAAATTATATTTGTATAGCGCCTTTATATTATTACAAATTATATTTGTATAGCGAAGGCTACGTCAAAGAGGAGGGTTTTGAGATGTGCCTTGAAGAAGGCAAGGGAAGGAGCGAGGCGTGGGATGGAACTCCATAGGGTGGGGCAGAAAGGCTGAAGGCCTGACCACCAATGGTGGGGCAGGGGGAGCAGGGGGACTTGGAGCAGGCCAGAGTCTGCTGAGCGGAGAGGGCGGACGGTAGGATATAGGGTCAGCAGATCGCAGAGGTAGGGAGGGGCAAGGCTGTGGAAGGCCTTAAAGGCGAGGACAAGGATTTTGAACTCTATCCTCTAGGGCTTGGGGAGCCAGTGGAGCCGGGTGGGGGTGATGAGGTCATGGAGTCTGGTGCGAGAGAGGACATGAGCTGCAGAGATCTGGGTGATCTTCAGCTTGTGGAGAGAAGAGTTGGGAAGGCTGACAAACAAGGAGTCGGCGAAGTTGAACCTAGATGTTATGAATGCGTGGATGATGTTATGAATTCGGAGGCCTGAGGGGTGAGGCAGTGGCGTAGCTGGGCGATGTTGCAGAGGTGGGGGAAAGGCAGAGCGGGTCTTGGCACGGATGTGGTGTAAAAAGGACAGTTAAGGGTCAAAAAATACGCCAAGGTTCTGGACTGGCTCAGTGAGGTGGGGTGTGCATTCTTGGATGGTGATGCTGCAGTGCCTGAGGTGTGAAGACGCTGACGGGAGCCAATCAGGAGGGCCTTGGTCTTGTTGATGTTGAACTGTAGAAAGTTAGCTCTCATCTTGATATCTGACAGACATTCTGTCAGGACAGCGTGGTCCTAGAGTCGAGGGTGGAGGCAGAAGATAGAGTTGGGTGTTATCCGCATATATTTGGAGCCCATGTCCATGATGTCACCAAAAGGGAGCATGTAGATATTGAACAGGAGGAGACCAAGGACAGAGTCCTGAGGAATGCTGCACAAGGTTGTGCGGGGCTAGTGGACATGAAGTGGAGATGGTGTGGGAGATAGGATCTGTACCACTCTGGGACAGAACCATGAAGTTGAGGTGAGAGGAGGCGGTGGAGGAGGATAGAGTGGTCAACGGATCGAAGGCAGCCGAGAGGTCAAGGAGCCCTGGTCACAGATGGACAAAATGTCATTTGTCACTTGAACCAAAGCTGTTTCTGTGATATATTTGGTTCCAGGTCCAGTAAGCCCCAGGTTGGTGTCCATTTTTTCCCCAGAGAAAAGGAGGTAGTGGAAGATCAATCTCTCCTGTTTGATACCTATGGAATAACTCAAGACTGACATTTTCTGTTAATAATTGCTGCATTTCATCATTGATATAAGGAGCTAACTATGACATCATGCTGGAAACTCAATTTTAGTTGGTTTGAGAAATGTAATGACCGAGGAATTGTTAGGCATTTTATTTGAAAGGAAGATTGTGTCATTTTATTACATTCTAACTTATTAGGGCTCTCTTACAGTTAAAAATAAGAAAGTGAAATATTTGTCTTTCCTGAAGCCACATTTAATATTTGTTTAGAATATAAACACTTTGACCATGCTTTTGTGTGTGTGTCTGCTGGGTAGTTAAATTTCCTATTTCTGTTTTTTTGAAGGTTTGACTTTTGTCAGAATGATACTGAGAGACGACCCTCTGAAAACTTGGGACAGGTATTGTTTGGAGAGAGGATAGAATCATCCCCTTATAAGGTACTGCACGTAAAGTTTAAAAAATATATAATAAATAGAATTGTTTTCATTCTAAATCAGACGATGCATAGTTGAAAAGTTGTATAGAGTTGAAATTTGATTAACATTATTGGGATAAAAACATATTGTGCTGCTTGTGAAATTGTATTTGTCCCTTTGTTACTGTTATATAAATTTACAGCATAGAGAGAGGCCATTCATCCCATCAAGTCTTGTCATGTGTTTTACTTAAAGTAACTTTTCCATTAACATAATATTTCTTGTTTTCAACTTTCTGGAATTGATCGCTCTTTTTCTGTTGAGAGCAATTGTATTTTTGTCAGTATTTGCCTAAATTTCAAATGTATTCAGATATAACAGTTGTGATTTTATAATATTGCAATGTTGTATTTTGTAGAAGTGTACACAATCAAATGAGAAGATATGCATATTTATTAAGAGAAATTAGGTTCATGTTGATTGGTGGAGCACCTAAGTGGTGGTTGTCAATTTTGATTCTTGAACCTAAATGTTGTTTTGTTCTTGCAGTTTGCATTTAACAAACATGAAGCATGTACAGCAGTTTGTATGAAACCCTATGATCCAAAAGATAAATCTTCTGTAGACAAGCTTTCTTTTATAAAGAAAGGAATTCTTCTGAATTACCAACACCACTGGTAAGTGAACTGGCTCCCCAATGCCCTGAATCTATTATTTGATAATAATAATAACCCTTGCATTTGATATAGTGCCTTATCATTGAGATGTCTCAAAGAGCTTCACAGGATATACTGTAAAGTGAATTACTGTGTATTATTTGGGCGAAACACAGCAGCCAATTGCGCACAGCAGTGTTCCACAAATAGCTGTGGGTTGATTGACCAACTTATTTTTTTGAAGGGATTATCACCCCCAGAAAAGTGATCCACCAATCGACTAACAACTGGGTCCCCACTTACATCAGGGTAAACAGTAAGAGTGTGGAGTAAGAAAACCTGCCTAAGGTTTCGCCTTGCCTGAGAATTTAACCCGGGTCCTCTTGCTTGCGAGACGAGTGCCCTAACCACTGAACTACAGGACTCCACGGTGTCCGTGCAGACAAACACAGTTTAATGCTGCTTCTGCCTGGTGTAGCATTGAGCGATATAGATCAAAAGGTTGCAGGTGCAATGACTTGTCAGCCCTGAGTAATTTGCGTTGCAAATGTTCTGAACCCCCTGGAATGGGTAGTGAAACATCATCTACGTTTCCCACTTTGATCATTATTCAATGACTCCTGTTGTTTACCAAGTGAGAGCCGTGTGGGCTTGGATATGATGAATAGCCTGCTGACACTTGTCTAAGATTGTACTCTGATGAGGTATCAGAAGGGATAATACCTCTCATTGAGAGGAGTGGAGAAAAAGGACAAAATTAACTTTTTTAAAAAAAAAACTATAGAGAACCTGTTGTCTACTGCACAGTAATGTTAGTTATTTGATACTTGACAGTTATTTAATATAAAGGCCTGCACTGTAAGATCACAAGAACAATTGTGTTCAATCCTCCCATCTCCCATTGCCAGGTTTTATTAAACAGAAATTGTTTCTAAGAACAAAATGCTGCGAAATTAAAATTTGAAAGGTCAGACTTACAAGGTGACTGAGTGTTCACAGATGAAGATTGAAAGGAACATAGTATTTGCTTCTGTCTTTACGCTGCCAGCACTCTTTCACCCCGTACTTGTGAAGCTGAACTCTGGCACTAATTTCAGTTATGTCCCCCCTCCCCCCACAAAAGATGGCGAATGTGGTTGATGACCAGTTTCCTGAGGATAAAAAATATTAAAATATTCAAGTTCAAGTTTTGATCACATCAGTTAACTTAAAAGCACTGAACCATGTTGGTCAGGCAATAGTACAGTTTGGGGAAGGTTTAAAGAAGATTTTTTTCCATAAAATCACTTCAGCAAAATATTAATTGACATTCATTTAAAGTAGTATGTGAAACCTTTGTGATTAACGTGCCATTTATGGTCATTTGTGCCTTTGCTCTAATACAATGCTTGCTAGGTTGGAAACAGCATTTTACAGTAAAGATATTTTGCTTAAACATAAATTAGCGCTTTCTCAATAGCTCAGTTGACAAAACATACTGTTTAGTGTGTAACTGAGGCATAGAACAAAGATCTGTGTTTGATTCCTTTGCAATCTAAATGTCTTTATTTTCTTGTTGTGGTACAACTGTAGGATCATTGATAACATGCCTGTCACGTGGTGCTACGATGTTGAAGATGGTCAAAAGTTTTGTAATCCTGGATTTCCAATAGGATGCTTTGTAACTCAAGATGGTCACCCAAAAGATGCCTGTGTGATCAATGTAAGTTGTGAGTCTTTAAAATGGCTATATGAGTTGAATCTGTCTACAATTTGTTTTCAATTTACAGTTAGCCCAAATAACTTAAGTTCAATACCATGTCCGTCATTGTGTCATACAGAGACTGTTGAATGTAGAATTGTGGGTGTAAATCTTTGTCTTGCCACTTGGTGGCACAGTACCTCAGTACTCCAGTCTGCAACTCCCATCATGACACGTGTACAACGGGTAACTTAAATTAAACAAATAATCAAATAATCCTGTGGCTCAGTTTGAAGGAAGGTTTCTTCTTTCTAGAAAGTTGCAACTTTTCTTCTCGTGTATTTTGTTATGACACTGCTGTGGTTTCCTTCTCTTCACTTGGGTCCAAAATATTTTAGGTTGCATTTGGACATTTTTTGGTTGTGATTTATTATATAAATAATATATAGCAACATCACGTATGTTGTTTTCACAGGCTATGAATTTATGATGGGTCTATATTAATGGTTCAAGGGAATTTGTAATTGCTAATTGGGAATTCAAACGACCGAGTAGATTGGATTGTGATACAATGTGTTTAGATCACAAAGCCTAATTTGTTTAAAATCTGTAGAGGAACTTTTAAGGTTTTTCTTAGAACACCTTTTGTATTTTTCAGTCTGAATTCAATAAAAAAAACACCTACTACGTCTTCAATCATGTGGACATCTTGATTACATATCACAGTGGAAATAAGGAGGAATGGGAAGGTGCGAGACTGGTTGCAGCAAAATTGGAACCAAAAAGGTATCATCAACAACAGCAACAACTACTTGCATTTATATAGCGTCCTCCATGCTGGGTGGCATCCCAGAGCACTTAACAATGGTGGATCCCGATGCTAAGCCAGCGGGAGGGGGAAGGTGACCATAGGCGTGGTCGAAGAGGAAGGTCTTCAGGCGCAACCTGAAAATGGGGAAAGAGGGGGCAAGATTTGAGAGGGGGAGCTCCATAGCTTCAGGGCGTAGGGGCTGAAGGCACGGCTGCTGATGGTGGAGGTCCAATTATCGTTGGTGGTGCTATATTTAAAAAAAAAAGTTTTGTTTGAATGTGGCATTGAATGAATGTTTTTCAGGTTTGAAACTGGTATTGTTCATCAAAATTTTGTGACTTGGCAGATCTTTTCCTCTCCATTTTAATGTTGCCTGCTTACCAATTTTGTTCTCCCTCTATAGTTGTAATTAAACGCTAAGGAAATAAATCATCCAAATGGTTTATTTGAATATCTATTCTAAAATGGTGAAAATTACAATTTTCAGCAGTATAGTGCTTCATTTCTGAAATGCAATACCTTTACTAGGGATGGAAGTCTGGCAAACTGATGTTTTCTACTACTGTACTTCTCTGATTCCATTTTTTTTTCTTTCCGAGTTAGCTGAGTCTAGTTAATTTTAAACGTTTAAAAAAGATAGAGCGTAGGCGCTACTGTTTTATTTTTTTTGAAAAAGTTGTACTTTTTCTTCAGTTACAACCATGCTGATTTAACCCATCTGAATTGTGGGGGACCTCCAATGGAAATTCCTGCTGAAGACAAAGAGAAGAAAGTGAATATTATATATACTTATTCTGTCACATTTGCTGTAAGTAACATTTCTTTTAAATCCTTTAAAAATGCTTGCATTTTGCAATCAATAATGCTCTTTGTGTGTTTAGAACATTGATTTTCTTGCAGTGTGTTTTGGAGATGTAGTCAATCTTGTATAAATCTTTGCTTTTGATCCATTTGTTCTAAGTGCTCTGATACTTTACACAAGATGTTGCTTCAGGTTTTATTTGTAGAAAAGAATAAAGAGAAAATTGTTGCAGTTGCATCATATTCTAAAATGCTACATATTAGTCACTCACTCTTTGGCTGTTTGTGCGATATTGCTGTATGCAAATCAATTGCCATGTTTGCCCCAAAAAATACACAGTCATTCTACTTTATAATACGTCTTATTAAGCGTTTTGAGTGGCCTCAAAAACGTTTGAAGGCATTACATCAAATGCAACAATTTTTATTATTCTTTCTAGAATTAATTTTCCGGAGGAGAAGCAGTAAGAGGAAGTAACAGCTTTGCAGAATAGGTTTTGCAACCCCTAATCAATTCATTTAGCAGAGATTGCTTTTGAATAAATTATTAGAGTTAAAATATGTCTTTCAGGAGTTTCCAGGTTTTAACTATATCTTTGCTAATGGGTTACAAACTGAGGAAGGAGAGGATTCTAATTTTCATTTTCTACTCTATACACTTTTAACATATTTTTAATACAGGCAATTTAATTTTATAATTAAACAACATGCATGATGTAGCTATATATTATAATAAATCACAACCAAAAAATGTCCAACGTAACACTGATGGTGTCACAACACATTTTAGTGGAATATTGTAATCATTGTCAGCCTATTTACCTTTTTGGGTTACATATTTGAACAGTGATACAGATCAGTAGCATTATAAGTACAGATTTTAATGGCAGTATGAGAAATTAGTCCTGAGTTTTTGATTAATTTTGTTTTTGTTATCTCTGTCCTGCTCTTCTTCCTCCCCCACCCCCTCCCCCCCACCACACAGGAAGACCACAAAGTAAAATGGGCCTCCAGATGGGATTACATATTAGAATCAATGCCACATACAAATATTCAGTGGTTCAGGTATGCTATTTCTCATGCTATATACAACCACCTTTTCATTTTTACTTTTTTGGGGAAGTTTTAATTTTATCACATTTTTGTTTATGTATAGTTTGATACTTATGCATTGATTATTCTAAAGAGAACTTCTCTCCCATGTTTCTCTCAGTATTATGAATTCCCTTGTGATTGTCCTCTTCCTTTCTGGTATGGTGGCAATGATTATGCTTCGAACCCTACACAAGGACATTGCTAGATACAACCAGATCGATTCTGCTGTAAGTACGTTTGTTGAATGTGGGTTAGAAAGATTTAGTCTTGATTACTGTTGAATTTACTTTGTTCTTGAGTAAACTTGCATGTTGCCACCAAGAACTGGATAAAATACATCGCAACTCTTTCAATTAGTCATTTTAATAATTATAATAATTCTTGCATTTGATATTGCGCTTTTCACATCTTCTAGACGTCTCAAAGCGTTTCACAGAATATACTGTAAAGTGAATTGACTGTATGTTTGTGGGCGAAATGAGGCAGCCAAATTGTGCACAGCAGTGTCCCACAAACAGTCGTGGATTGAAGTGACCAATTTATTATTTTGTTTCTTGAGGAATTATTATTAGGCGTGTGGGGTAAGGAAACTTGCCCAAGGTTTCGCTCTGCCAGGAATCGAACCCAGATCTCTCCTTTGAGAGGCGAGTGCTCTAACCCTGAGCTACAGGACTCCACTAATGGACTTTTTGATTAATCTTTATTAATGATTCAGTTCAAATACATATTGACTATTTGTTTCTTTACTGATGATTCAGTTCAAATATATATTGAATATTTGTTTTACAACTTTTCACTTAACTCTTGTTTTATAACTATGCTACGCATCACTTGTATGATTTTAAACAATTTTTTGCAGGAGGATGCTCAAGAGGAATTTGGTTGGAAGCTGGTGCATGGAGATGTCTTCAGGCCTCCAAGGAAGGGGATGCTTTTGTCAGTTTTCTTGGGTCAAGGAACACAAATCTTCATAATGACCTTTATTACGCTTTGTAAGTTGGATTTGGTACAGTAGTTTAAGCTAAGTTCCTTTTATCAGCTAGTTTTTTTAAGTTGACTTTTAGCCTTTGAATGTTTTCTGTGCTAGTTTTAAGCTGTCCTTGGAACAGTGTGAGCACCCTCAAATTGGCCTTTTTTGCTAGTTTTAGAGTTCTTGAACTCATCCAGTACGAGTGGCGCTGCACAGTTGCGTGTCTAATTACAGCTAATGTAGAACAAGATTTTTTTTCAGTTTGATGATGCAACATGGAGAATGACAAAAAGATTAAAAAAAAATCTACCTAGATTAATTTCAGGGAAAGGTCAGGTTTAATAGTCTTTAATACAAGATTGTACCTTGTAAAGCAGTATTTAGTTTAAAAAGATATGCCAACACGATAACGCTCTTGTAATATATAAGTAGTTAAGAAATATTTAACCCTACACAGATGTATTAACTGAACCAAGTGCAATTATGCTCCAAGGGAGGAAAAGGTGGATTGTCAGTCATCTGGCTAGCCTTTTTTTATACATCAACAATTGATTATGTTGATCTTCACATTTTGGTCTTTTGAAGCCAATTTTTGAGGCAGTTTAAGTTCTAAAATTTTGGAAGCTGCTCCCATCTCCAGTCCCTGTGGAACCACCAACCCTTGGTAATCAAGAATTAGAAAAGGGAGATTGAGTTAGAAAGTTATAATAGCATAAAATAGGAGAGAATGAGACATTTTTTATTTAATCCTTTTTGGAAGTTTAGAGTTCAGTGTACAGTAATAAATCTACTGATATTTGAGAGTAGGATATCAGATGCTGTTTATTTCAGGAGGGTTGTTAATTTTAAAACTCGAAAGATGAATTGTATTGTTCTTTGTTCTGCAATATTAGCATGTGATGATTCTTCATTCATAGTTGGAAGACATCATCTTTTCAGCTTCCTTACAATCAGCTAGTGCTATAATCTTTAATTTAAAAATTAAGTGTGTGTATAGAACATGCAGACTGGAGCCATGAACTGATTGCAAGATTCATAAACCTAAACCTTTTATGTATTACGTATTGCAGAGTTGAATGCAAGTCTGCAGAAAATTAGCAGTTTGAGGAGGCATAAATTTGTGCTCCATATGACCTAATTATTTTAACGGTGCAGGAATATAGTTTATTTTAAAAAGCCTTATCTTTCAACTGATGAAAAGCCAGTATGTGGAATATTATATTACATATTACAGTACTTACCAAACTTATTTATTTTCTTTTTTGTAGTCCTAGCATGTCTTGGGTTCCTTTCACCTGCCAACCGGGGAGCATTGATGACGTGTGCTGTTGTTCTCTGGGTCTTGTTGGGGACGCCGGCAGGATATGTTTCTGCTAGAATGTATAAGAGTAAGTAATAAGGAGAATGGATTTTTAAGGTGTAAAATGAATCTTACTGCTGATAATGACACAAACATGTGGCGTAGCATTCTGCTAATATTGTTCTTTAAAGATTTTTTGCAACCAATGAATGGTGACATACATTGTTTATTTGTATCATAGCCCTAGAATTAAAATAAATAGGCCTTTAGAGCAGGAGAAATGCATGACACCATTGAAGACCATTCAGTCCATTGTTTCATATCTGTAGACTCTGATAAGCATCCCAATTCCCTGCTCATTCTGTGTACCCTACAGTATCCTTCCTCTACATGTGCGTATCCTTTTTTTAACATTCTCCAATCAACTCTTGACAGCCACACCTACCAAATCATTCCATACTCTTTAACAAACCTAAAGGAGAAGTTCTTCTGAATCTCTCCCTTTATTCGCCAATCACAATTTTGAATTTGTGCTCTTCTTCCTTAAATTCCCAGTGACAGATGAATCTTTGACGGTTAAGTCTCTCAATCCTTTTCCTTGTCTTTTTTTAAATCTTGCAGTCCTTAATCTTTACTGCTACAACATAAAATTCTAACCTCTCTATTGACTCTTCTCATAGCTATATCTGTTCTTCTCCAGTATCATTCTCATGAACCAACGCTGCACCCTCTCCATAGCTCTAATATCCTTTCTGTAATGTGCCCAAAGCAGCACACAATATTCTAACTGCCTCATTTTAATGTCTCATACATATTCATCATCACCTCCTTTTGTGTTCAATAGATCTATATGTATTTATATATGTAATGTATAAAAAGCTCAGAATACTGTTAGCCCTTCTATCGCCTTTCTCTACCTGCCATCCCACTTTTAACAAACTCTATATTTGTACCCTGAGATCATTCTGTTCCTCCACAGCATTGAAATTTCTACCATCCATGGTATAAATTTTGCTTACTATTCTTTGTCTCAAAATGTGCCACTTCACATTTTTCTATATTTAACTTTTCTTCTCTGTGCTGGGTAACTCTTATTAGTTCCATCTTTTCGAAAAGGTTTTCAACAACATCTCTTGGTCTCTGAGCAGCTTTCCTACAACTAATATGAGACACCGATCTAGTTGATTCTTTTTCCCTTAAACAACTTGATGACATTTGCCTTTCTTCAGCTGTCTGAGACAATGCCTGTATCAATAGACTTCTGGAAAATGCCAGTCAGAGCCTCTTTCATCATTGACCTCCTTCAGAATTCTTGAATACATCCCATCGAGACTTGGAGATTTATCTAATTTCACCCTATTCTCAGTATCTCTATTTGTTTTTCAATTGCTCATGCCTCCCACAGTTCAATTTCAAATGTTTATCACTGCTGATTTGCCATTGTATCTGCTAATGTTTCTAAATGTAAATGCCCATTATTAGCTTGTTGCATTTCAGTTTTGTTACTTTTCAAAGTTTCATATAGCTGTTAAAGATATTCAGAACTCATAAAATTGACAGTTTTTAAGGTTATCTAGATTGGTATTTGGGTTAATTGTTGTTCTTTTCATAGCATTTGGAGGGGAGAAGTGGAAGACCAATGTTCTGCTGACCTGTTTTCTTTGTCCTGGGTTAGTGCTTTTTTTCTTGTTTTTGTAGTGGTTTGTAGATTCTGCTAGGGTACAGCACTTTTTATACTTGGATTAACACAGATTTGTTTTCATCTGGAACTAAAAGGGAGATTGACTTGATGTACACAGTAAAATGTTAATTTTGTCAGGTTCACCTTTGGAGTTGACATATTGTTTTCTGGCTCACCCATCTGAGTGCAGGTCAACAATGTAGATTTGCACACACTGAGAGAGATGGCAGCCAGAACAGCTTCTCTGTTTTACTGCTGCAAAATCTGCTCTGTTATTTAAACCATAAATTCCACATGATCCACATCCTCAAACACATATCTACAATCTAAATATCACAAGTGAATTTGCTCTGGAAATCTGACTGGAAAGACAAATGATAGATGAATAGTTTTGTGGTGGACTCATTTTAGTTGGCTGATTCTAGACTTCCTGTTGGACCCATTTTAGCTTTTTATTTAGTGATGTTTCCTGTTTATTTGAAGCTGCATGTTAGCAAAGATCCACTGTATTTAATTCAATAACCAGTATTTTTTAAATTATTGTCTGATGCACTACCACTTTGTAACCATTTTTGTTATATAAAGCTTTTTTATGGTGTCTTTCCCCCCTCCCTTTTTTCTATTTCCAGTTAAATGAAAATTAGTTATGCTACAAAGTGAATCCAAGTTTTTAAAGGACTCAACACTGCAAAAACATATTTGGCATCTTTTTAGAATTTATTTTCATTTGACGTAACCATAGTACTGGGCTAGTTTGGCTCTATTGTACCTACTGGGATTCATTTGGTTTATTCATCGCAGTATTACAGTGAAAGAAAAAACACTATAAATGATTGTAGATAGTCAATTTGTATTTTAGTTAAGGTGTTACTGTCAAATAATATTGTGGAATAAATTATCTTTATTTTTATTCACAGGATTGTTTTTATTGATTTCTTTCTCACAAATCTCATCCTTTGGGCAGAGGGATCATCTGCTGCCATGCCTTTTGGTACACTGGTAGCAATATTAGCAATGTGGTTTGGAATTTCAGTGCCATTGACATTTGTTGGTGCTTATTTTGGATTTAAGAAAAGGGTGAGTTCTGCCAAATAGCTATTATTCATAGACTCAAACAAAAGTGGGAACATTGATATGTACGTGCCAAATTGTGCGAAATCCATTCCTGTGCTTCCACCTATTGTAGTTTATATACAGTACAAGAATATATTACTGTTGTATAATATATTTATATATTTGTTATATATAAAATTGTTAAAATAAAGAATACTGTTAGAATAAATCATTCAAGTAACTTCTAAAATTGGTAATGTACTATTTGCTGTTTGATTAAATGTTTGTGGCAAAAATTGTTAAACAGATGTAACAGGATAAATATTAACTTCACAGTTTATCAAAGTATATCTTAGAAATTGTTGTATGGAATAATCTTCAAATTAGTAGATTTTCCTATATATGCAGAGTGATTCAAAAAAATTATAGATCTGATATATGATGTTTTGCGTTAATGTTAATTTTTAATGCATCTAATTAATATGTGTTTCTTTTCAGCCTATTGATCATCCTGTCCGCACAAATCAAATTCCACGTCAAATCCCAGAGCAGTCTTTCTTCACAAAACCTTTACCTGGCATAGTCATGGGTGGCATCCTGCCTTTTGGCTGCATTTTCATACAGCTGTTTTTTATTCTGAACAGCATCTGGTAGGTTGCGATGAATTAGCAAATTCATTAACTTTGGCTTCTAGTACTTAAATAACACTTTTTCTCAAAACTCTTAACTGATATTTAGAAGAAAATACTTTTTTGTATTGCAACACTTAGTACAAATAACATATCTGTCGTTTCATGCATTTTGTAGGTTACATACAATTTGTTACAAGTTATACTAAGTGGGTCATGTGTCACTGGCTCAGTTGGTAGCACTCTTGCTTCTTGTGTCCGAAGGTTGATCAAGCATCATGCTGGGACTTGGAACCCATATAATCTATGTTGATACTCCAGTGCATTGCTGGGGATGTGCTGCATTGCCTGAGGTGCTGTCCTACAGATTAGACAATAAACTGAGGTCCTGTCTACCTGTCCAGGTGGACAATAAGTTTCCCATGGCATGATTTGAAAGGAGAAGGAATTTATTCCTGGTGACCGCCAATCAAACCCCCAGATAAAATTGGTCACTCAAAAAATACACACGGACACATTATTTTAACGTATGCCTTATGATGCGCTTTGAGATGTCCTGACGATGTGATAAATGCAAGGATTATTATTTATCATTAAGAGTACCTAATGACTCAGTTTGCACTGTTGGTGCTGTGTCAAACTTGTATTTAGTAAAAAATCATCAAGTAAAATCTGCTCATTTTACCAGGGTCTGCCTGGAAAGTATACCAGTTTTATAGCAGCATTCCTTGCAATTTTGAAATGCTCAATTTGGCTGTATTGTTATATAGTAGGTCAATGGCTTCAGTTGGACGTTTTATAAACTTTAAGGATTGCAGTGTCCTGTCTTAATTTGTATTTACTGTATTTTAGGTCTCATCAGATGTATTATATGTTTGGTTTCCTGTTCTTGGTGTTCATCATTCTCCTCATCACTTGTTCAGAAGCTACCATTCTACTGTGTTATTTCCACCTCTGTGCAGAGGTTTGTACAACACACTTCATGGCTTTATAATGTAATCAATGTTAAAATAATGCAGAATTAATTTATTTTGTGTAGTTATTGCACAGAAATGGTTTACAACAGTGAAGCTAAAAGCCTTTTTAAAATTGTGTTAATGTTATGACTTTTTTGTATTAAGAACCTTTTAACAAAACTTATTAGGATTTTTTTGTGTGAGATACATTGTATGGCTATTATCAGTTGAGTAATTTTGCTTCCACCCTCAGTGCCCTTCAAATGATTGGCAGTTTATTGGTTGTTTAATAAAGGAACCTGCAGCTTTCCATTTAAATAGTATAATATTTGTAGAACTTTTTTTGTTTATCTTTGAATTGAATCATTACTGTTCTGATTTTTGTTTGTTTGTTTCAAAGCATCCCAGGCAAATCTAACAAATGTATTTTTCTTTTGTAGGATTATCACTGGTGGTGGAGATCATTTTTGACTAGCGGTTTTACAGCTGTCTACTTTTTTGTGTATGCTGTTCATTACTTCTTCTCTAAGCTCCAGATTTCAGGGGCTGCAAGCACCATTTTGTATTTTGGATACACCCTCATAATGGTCTTGATCTTTTTCCTTTTTACAGGTAGGTTTGAAATCCTTTACTTGTAACATTACCATATCCCATTAAGTATAGTAGTTGGAGAAAAGATAATACTTTCAAATTTTATTTATTGAGAGGGGAGGAAGGGGAAAACTAGTGATATGAGGCATTCTACTTATAGAGGATCTTAACAAATGGTGGTCTTGACATTCACTGCTGCATGCTGCCAGAAATGTATCTAATAAGAAGCTTGGTGGGATATAATACGCTTTAGTTAGATTTTTACAAATTAAGTGAAGTCTCCCCAGACATTTCTCTGCATTCATGTAATTGGATCTTCCTGATTTATTTTTGAGATTCTATTTTGATGGATTCAGTTGGAAACACCAATGTGGTCACATTTGGCTCAGGTGTCCGAAGGGACTGTCTCTGTTTATTTAAATGCCACCCTGTATGTTTTCTTCCTAGTGATGAATTCGACATTGAGTTTGTGTTGTGCTATTTGAGGCTTTTTCCTTCCTTGTGCCTGTATTAGCAATGCCTCAGGCAAAAGAACGCCAGGAATAGACACCACAAGTCGTGTGATTAATGCTGTCTTGAGAAATGTATCCTGTCAAGTAACCATTATGTTTATGTAAAGCCTTTGTATGGCTTGCTTTTAATTAGGTAATTATATTTTACCTAAGGTCGGTGAATATTACAAATGTGCATGTTCCAAGTTGTCTCAGAACTTGGGTTTAATTTATCAGAAATTAGAAGCAAATTTCAGCTCATTGAACTTTATTTTCCAACTTGATTAAAAGCTGGAATGTTTATTTGGTAAAGTTCATTGTAAATTTTATCAAATACACTGAGGTTCAAATATAAAATTATTTTTTGGAGTCAGATTCCTTTTCCAATTTGTGTTCTTGCTATTTTCTAAAATCAACGCTATTTGATATAGTGGTGATCAATAACGTGGCTATAACCATCTGGGCTACCATAGCATACTTCTTACACCTGCCTGGTGATTTACTATATGGGAACCAACTGAAAAAATTAGTTTTTAAATTTGTTTTGTGTTAGCTTCCTTTTCTTGTAATAGGTCTATGTTGGCCTGTATTAATAGACACACTCGAGATTTTTGAAACTTGATTGTGGCATGCGAGTGTTTCATGATTAAAGAAGCCGGTAGCATGTATCCAAACTAGTCGCTCTGGTTTGAATGTTTTTAGCCATCTCAGACCAACTGCTTCTTTAAAGACTTGTGCTTTTAAGACCCTATGGCTCAATCCACTAAAAGATACAGCACCAAAGTAGGGTGTTTTTACATAGAATCATTTATTAATTATGTGAAAGTGTTATCAGCTGTAAGATTACATCATTGATTTTATAAGTGATGGGAGCGGCTGGAATTGGTAGTTGATAAGAGCTGAATGCGAACCAAAATGGGGGAAAAAGCAGAACTGGGACATAAATCAAATGGAATTTGTAAAGAAAACTGAGCTGGGTAGTAAACTGATTGTATGGCTCCAGCTTATAGCTAGAAAATGAAAGGATAGTTGACTACAGACCCTGTTGAAGTGTACATAGACAAAAATCACCATTTAAAATGGAAACTACATGAAATTATGATGACCAAAGTTGATTTTGGTTATCACTCATGAAAGCATGAGTTATTACAAAGGAAAATGCAGTTTCTGAAATTAGTCTGCTTTCCATTCTGTAACCGTGGTCACGATCATTTCAGTGCTGGTTTCAATGATAGATAAACATCTTAATATTGCAGTCAAGTGCAGACACATGTGAATTACAAAAATGAACATTTTATCAAAATGAATTTAATAGTGATTACTCTGTAGAATTGTTCAAGCATTTATAAATTGGATAGTTTTAGTAATTACCATACAGACTATACAATTATGGCCTTTCTTGACCTACTAAAATGTTTTTCTGTTTAAGTATCTTGAATCTCATGTAAACATCATTGAAATTGAGCAAAGATTGGAGATTGCTTTGCTGAACATCTCTCTTCTGTCCATAAATGTGATCGAGATGTCTCTGTGGCGTCTCATTTAAATTTTCCTTCCACTTGTAACCTCTTTACTTTACAAAGAGAGTGTTTCATGTTTGATGGAGAGCTCTACCTGAATATCTTTAAGATGCTGACTGATCAGCTGCACATTTCAACTTTTATGAAAATACAGGGTGTTTTTTCTGAACAAAGACAAATACATGTCCATTGGCAGCTCATCAACAAGGTTTTCATTTGTCAGAGCTCACTGCCAAGCAAGTGGAAACTTGTATTAAATTTAAAGGTTTTATGTTCCAGAGGCAACCTCCAGAGATGCTCATCTGAGCTTAATGCTAATATGAGGTGCTAAAGGTGTCCCATATTTTCCGTTAACGTACCTCACTTTGAGCATTGTATTTAAATCTGAATAGTTACCATAATCTAGAGTCCCTGATTTTAAACATGATTGGGGGTTAAAGACCAGGTTCTAGTCAAATTAGAATGTGGCGCATTATTGATGCCTTATGATTTTTAATGAAGTAAATTGCAGATTTTAGCGTAGGCGTACTTTAGCACATTTTAATGAAGTAAACCTAAGGAACAATACTATAAAGATGAAGTTGCAAGCTTATTATGCAAGTAGAGTAAATAATGACTCATAAAATGAAGGGGAAAATATGAAGGGTTTTGTACCTGGAAAATTAGCATTCATTTTTCGAATATCAATATGCATTGTTAGATGTAATTTAAGTTGCTATGGAGCGTAATAGTTACTTCAAAAGCCCTGGTTACTGCTGTTATGGCAACTTTTGAACTTCAGATGGTAGCCAAGTTGATAAGCAGGTCAGCATTTGGAAATGAAAATTGGTTCACATGAAGAGATGTTTGTCAAAAAATGGAAAAAATAGAATTCTTTCAGTTCCTTCTAATTGACTTGGGAGTGTTAAAATGGGAAGTCGTGAATTTCAAATGCTCCAAACAACATTTTGAAGTCAGAACCGTTTTAATTCTCCTTTTTAAAATGCAGTTGCCTTCAAATTTATATGTATTTTTAGCTATAAACTTCCGAACCTGTTGATAATTCGGTAATTAATATGCTTGAAAAGTGATTGACAATTCTGTTTAGCCAGGCCCACCATATCTTGAAGAAAAAAAGCCTTTTTTGATATTTCCCAAGGATCATATCAGGTCATTGCTTATGTGAAAATATTATTGCAAATTAGTTATGTAAGTGACTCTTGTTACATTAATATTAGACTTCTTGCATAGAATAAATGATTTGCACCATAGTAGTTCAATTAGCAGATCTATAAATCTCAATATAAATTCATGGAAATTACAATTCTTTCTTGCTTCCATTAGTGATCTTTAACCAGAACTGCCAAACCTATTATAATAATGATCCTTGCATTTGATAGAGCGCCTTAAATCATCTTCGAGAGGTCTCAAAGCGCTTCACAGAATATAATGTAAAGTGAATTGACTGTATATTTTGTGGGCGAAATGCGGCAGCCAATTGCGCATGGCAGTGTCCCACAAACAGTCGTGGATTGAATTGACCAATTTATCATTATTTTTTGACGGAATTATTACCCCCGGAAAAGCGATACGCCAATCGACTAACAACCAGGTTACTACTTACTGCTAGGTAAACAGAGGTGGAGTAAGGAAACTTGCCCAACATTTCGCCCTTTTGGGAATTGAACCTAGGTCTCTCACTTGCGAGGCAAAAGCTCTAACCACTGAGCTACAGGACTCATTATGTGACGTTTTGGATACAAAATATAACATTGTTTATTTAAAACAGTTAAATAATTGTGTAACTGACACCCATCCTGGAGACCGTAGTTTTCACTTTCAGTGGAACTTTTTCTGCCTTCTGCATGGCAAAGAAAAGTTATAAGAGAATTATGTTTTTTTTAAATACAGAACATAAAGCAGCATAAACTGGTATTTGCCTTCAGATTTGTCTAATAGAATGAAACAGTTGCACTATAAGCTTCCAATTTGTGTCAGATATTATAGTTTCACTTGGCTACATTGTGAAAAAATACTCATGTGGCAGCACCTTATTTGCGTGCATTAAAACGGGTGGAAATATTTATTAGGGATGAAATTATGAAATCCAGAGCAAAGAATTGTAAAACTAAACTCTATTATAATAGTAATTCTTCAGAGAAATGCCTGATTGGTTTCAATTTTAGAAATTTTCAACTTGCCATTTTCAGAATGTGTGATTTTAATAATAATAATCCTTGCATTTGATATAGCGCTTTTCACGTCTTCTAGACGTCCCAAAGCGCTTCACAGAATATACTGTAAAGTGAATTGACTGTATATTTGTGGACGAACGCAGCAGCCAATTGCGCACAGCAATGTCCCACAAACAGTCGTAGATTGAAAATGACCAATTTATTGTTTTTTGTTTTGGAGGGATTCAATGACTAACCATTTTTTGATTGATATATATATATGTATAATACTTGAATTTATAATGACTTATTTTGTTTTCCAGGAACTATTGGATTCTTTGCCTGTTTCTGGTTTGTCAACAAGATTTATAGTGTTGTGAAGGTGGATTAACAATGGCTTGCACGTGGAACAGCACTGTTTGCATTTTTCTTTCCATTTAAGTATTTATCATAAAGCTTTATTTCCTGAACATTTCTGCAAACCGTTGTTCAATTCTAATTGCAAATCTAAGATAATGGCAAAAATCAAAATTTTAGTTAATGACTACTATGTAATCGAGTAATCATGTATTTCAGGGGAAAGTAAACAGTCAAGAAACACTGTTGGCTCAGTAGATGGATGTTCAACAATAAACCAGCCAATTTCAGAAAGTCCTTAGTCCAACATAGATTTTTTTTAAATGTGTATTTTGGGTTGTAGAATGTGCAGTGTTTATTCCAAAGAACGTTGTGCTCCATTCTTTATCTTTTGGCTCCAAAGCTTGTGCTTGAAGGATTATACTTGGATCTACAGATGAGCTAATAATTTTACTAAAATCTTTTAATTTCTCTATTCAAAATATTTGCAATAATTTGAGATTGTACATACAGTCCATAGTTTCCTTTCTAATGTAAATAGGTTGCAGTAACTTGTTTGATATAATCTTTCTGTTTGAAGTTAGAATCTCTTCCAAACAGCAAAGATTTGACACTATTTTCTGTGTAATCTCTTGTACTGTGATATTTTGTAAATAGACATGAAATTCAAATTAATTGAACAATGAGTTTGTGTAATTATCCTGTTATGTAGTACAGGTTGGTGGCTTTGTTATCTATCCGCAGTGCCTGATTATGTCTTGAACATATATCTGTTCAATAAACTTAAAATTAATCTTTTTTCCCCATAGTAAATTTTTAGCAAACCTTCATAGTAAATGTTTATTCTCTGTAAGACTTTTTCAGGATCCACTAACACTGAATTTTATGTTTGCAACTCACAAGGTGGAACATGTAAATAAATTTATTTAAAACTCCACTATTCCTTTAATTAAGGTGAACGACACAGGTGAAAATTATTTTGTTTCTCAATGCAGTCAGTTCCAGCATTCAGCTCCCAGCACAATATAGAGTGGATGCTTGGTAACATTTCTTCTGTTTCTTCTTCCCCCAACAAACTGCCTTAGGTACCAAACCTTAAAGTACTTGATGAGATGCAGCCTTTGTAGATGGAAAATGGGTTATTTAACTTTAGGTCTATCAGAAACAAGGGAACATGAATATGAAATATAAAAAATGTCTGATTCAGTATTAGATTTTCTCTCCCACATTGTGGTAAATGTGGAGATGCCTTTCATTAGAAATAATTAATGCTAAGCAATTAACCTTTCCTTTAAAAAAAGCTGCGTAAATATCACCTGGTTAAAAGTGGAATCCAAAGTGGCACGGATAGATCTGGTTCAACAAATCTTTTTCAGGGATGATTGTTCATGTGTTGTAGGATTTTGGAAATATTATCTATGAAATATAACCTGGTACAGTTTAAATAGGGTACATTACCTTGTTAGATAATATTGGAAAAAATCCAATCTGAGTAAAGGAACATTTTTTTGTAACTTGTAGAGAGCCTAAGGTAATTTTATGTGATGTATGCAAGGAACAGTCTTGACTGGCTGAATTGTCTTTCTCTTCACCCCCCCCCCCCCCCCCCCCCACGCACACACACACACACTCGTTCTCTCTTGTGCCACCACCTTCACTCCTTCACTACACCAAAGTAAATCCATAAAGAGCCAATTGTGTAATAAACTTAAGTAGACTTCAAAGAACATTACAAACATACGATTTTGGTGTTCTATGCTTTTTTTCCCCCCACCCCTGCTGGTTGAATGTAATCTGGAACCAGCAGTATAAATCTGGCTTTCTGTTCCATTTCACTCCCAGTAACATAAACACAGCATGGGTCTTGTCAATCTGGTTTGAATTTGACCCCCAGATCCCTCTACTAACCCTGCAGCATCTTGTATGCTATGTCAGCTTTTTAAGTCTGTATTAACGTAAATGTTATTCTAAAACTGCAATAAAGGTTAAACTTTAGATTTATGCATTATTTGAATGTATTTCACTTGATGGTGAAATGTTTGATATCTCTATACATGTGAACTACATTATTCATGAGTTAAATCGAGAGTATGCAGTGAAGAATTGAGGTACTTTTTCAACAAGTAAGATCCGATAATCTGCAGTAATGTTCCCAATTAACCAAATATAAATTCTTAGTATATGGTTAATTTTACAGTAATATCTCCTGCCTGATATCAGAGTATTTGTTCCTTGCATAATACAGCAGTGGATAAACTGAAAATTGAATATCCTTTAAAACTACTGTCAGACAGAATACAGGAATGAAATGCACTGGCTAATCTTTTTTTAACATTAGTTATAATGATGCCCAATAACAACCCAGATTATCACTATCCACGGACTGTGAAGCAAGTAGTCAAACTCGCGTGGCTGCATTCCACTGAACGGGGTACGTTTTTTTTAAATGGTGGGTTTCACAGATTGGTTAGTGTGCCACTCAATGCTAATCAATTTATAATAGAATCCAACCCAAAATGTTTTTCGATCGGCAGATTAATGGTAGAATAACTAACTAACTGCCAATTAAGTTTATCAACAATTTTGCCAGTTAAGGCATACTAGTTGTTTCTAATTTAGATCTTCAGTAACTTTTCCAACTTGAACAGAAACCCATCAATGTTTTTGAAATGCAAAAATGTGTGAAAATCGAGAATGAAGCCAAGTGAGCGGTGTGTTTGTCTTCCAAGATTAGCGGCGAGAGGCTTGCAAATTACACTGAGCCAGAATACTTTAATTCTGAACATATTCTGCTGTAAAGTACAGTCAAAACAGACAACACATTCGATCAGAGTGACTGTTCATGGAAAAAAAATCAAACTGCAACTTCAAACTGAGAATGGTAAGGTCTGGGGAGGAGGAATGACCAAATGCAAGCATTCTCTTATTTATTTGGGAGTATGACAATGTACAGTAAAACCCTTTTCATCCGCTTAGGAAACAAAAACCTCCTCCAACCCATTTTTAAAAAAAATACAAAATGATTCCACTTACAAACGAGTTACAAATGTTGCAGATAACTTTTCGTTCGCACGAACAAATCAACATGCTATATATAATAAAATAAAAGGTATAAACAAAACCGAAACTGCCTGGGCGGTAAAGCACACGGTTAATTTTTTTTTGTTGTTGTTGGGGCTTTTAGTTTTGTTATAATAATTAATTAATTAATAATTTAAAAAAGAAAGTGCTCCTGGATCATTCCTCTATCCGGCTGCTGGTGGGCAACAAATGCAATTCTTTCTCGGAGCTGCAACTGGTTGAGAGCGTTTCCCTGCGGCAAGGGTGCGACTTGGCGTGGCCGGTAACGGTGCCGGTGGTGCTGGAGCCGGTGACCGAGGCACACGTGGCTCCTTCCCCCCAAAACTTGCGGGCGCGGACCTGACCAGAGCTGCCCGCGGAGAGCTGCCTGCGCACGGTCCTCCGCCTCCCGTCGGTCGCCATGAAGCAGCTGTCCGGCTCAGAGTGCCGCCGGGCGTGGCACGAGTCACACAGCAGCGACAGGAACTCGCGCCGGACGCTCCGGTGCATGTAGCCGTAGATGTACGGGTGGAGGCAGCACTGGAAGAAGAACAGGACCAGCGACGAGGTGGTCAGCCACTGGGGCGGGGGCGCAGGGCTGCGGATGGTCACAGTGCTCAGGATGCTGTAGGGTCCCATGCTGAGGATGTAGGACGACACGATGACGAAGACCACCCGGGCGGCTTTGCAGTGGTTGTGGAGGCGCCGGTGGCGAGCTCTGAGCCCCGAGCTGGACACCGAGGCGCTTGGCGCCTTGGGGGTTGGGGTGGGCATTGGCGTTGGGGTGGGCTGGGAGGAGGTGGTGGTGATGATGGTAGTGGTGAGTTGGGTGGACCAAAGCGTTCTGCCTGCGAGCGGCTCTGAAGACCATCCAGTAGCAGCCCAGCATGATCGCCACCGGCAACCAGAAGGTCAGGAGGGCGATGACCACCGTGTAAGAGTGACTGGCTGACCAGAACAGGCTGCAAAGGTGGTGACGGTCGAAGCCGATCTGACCCCAACCGAACAGCGGCGGCGCGCTCTGGGCGGCGCCCAGGAACCAGGTGAGAAGGATCAGGCTACTGCCCCGGCGGGGGGTCATCCGGGCGGGGTAGGACAGGGGGTGGATGATGGCCAGGTACCTGTCGATGGAGACCACCACGATGGTGTTGACTCCGGCAAACGCGAACAGGTGCATGAGCACCACCAGAGCCTTGCAGCACAGCCCCGTGTCCAGGAAGGGCCAGGCCTCGGGCAGGCTGCCCGCGATCACCAGGGGCATGACCAGCACGGTCTGGAACAGGTCGGCCAGCAGCAGATTGAACACGAAGCGGTTGGCCACGTGCAGCAGCTGGGGCTTGCGGTGGAAGACCATCAGCACCAGCACGTTGCCGAAGAGCGACGTGCACACGATGGCGGAGATCAGGGCGGCCCTGGCGATGTTGTTGGCCAGCAGGGTCTTCGTGCCGCTCTCGTCGGGACTCCACGGGAGAGTCGAGTTGCTGGTCTTGTTGTTGTTGTTGTTGCTGTTGTTGCTGCTGTTGTTGTTGTTGTTGTGGTGGTGCTGATGGTGGTGCTGATGGTGGTGGTGCTGATGGTGGTGATGGTTGAAGACTGTGAACCCAGACATTTTTTTTACCCACACAAACGCGCTCACCGATTGATGGATTGATTCCTCGTGTCTCTCTGGTTTTGGGGCTGAAATGGATACTGCAGTGTGTGTCTCTCTCTGTGCATTCTTCTTATTGAATCTCTCTTCCCCCCCTCCCCTCCCCCCCACCCACCCCCCCCCCCCCCCCCCCCACACACACACACACAGACCACCCCCAAATAATCCACCAGAGAGACGCAGTCGAGATTTGTGCAGAGAGAGAAAGAAAGAGAGAAAGAGAGATGGAGAGAAAAAAAAATCCCCCTCTCCACCAGGCGTTATCGTTTGCAAAACAGTCAATAAATCCTTCTCGATATTTTCGATTCCAGGCACTGAAACAGGAGCTGCTTCAGTGGCACTTGTCCATCACCGCTTTTTTGCTGATCTCCTCTGCAAATCTGTCCCCCAAAACGCTTTCGTGCGACACTTGTTTTAATGTTGTTGCTCTGACCACGGTTCATCTAGGGATTTTTTTTTTTTTTTTTGCAAAAAAAAAACGAGAAGAGACCCATTTTACATTGAAACGTGTGGCATTGTAAGAAAATCCTCTTCCTGCCCTGTCTGCAAAACCCTCCTGTGGCAGACGATTGCTGGACTGGACTGACTCGAATCCTTGTCCCATCCATCCCTAAGTGCCAAACAGTCTGCAGTAGTTATTGCATCCCATTTAAACACTTTATTAAACACCGTGTGTGTGTGTGTGCGTGTGTGTGCAAAACACACACACACACGAGCACAGATACTGTAGCAGTTGCGACAACTCGATTTTAATAACAAATCAATAACCTGAAGTCAACTAAGTCGATCCTGCGTTTTGAAACCCTATTCTCCAACCTCCAGCAATGGGAGGGTGAGCTTTAATTTCAATTAATGTGGGGTTTCTTTTTTTTTGGGGGGTGGGGGGGTTAAGAAAAAAAAAAGAAGCACATTATTTACCTGCCAGCCACCCAGAGACTGTCCCTCCAGCACCTTCCTCGTTGCCAGCCACCCGCCTCTCCGGCTTGAGATGGAGCTACACAGATTGGACCACCATCCCCTTCCCCCTTCGAGGGACCATTCAAGCAGTCGCCACCGAGAGGAGCGGCGCATCTACACTCTCAGTGCAACTGCAGCTGCGTCTTCATAACTCTCGAAATAACACACCGAATCGCTCTCATGTATATACACACACACACACACACCACACACACGCACATACATGCACGCACGCACACATGCATGTGCAGACTGCGCGGATAGCAGCTGTCATGATTGCACCGTCTGATTCGAAGTGGTCCGATCTATTCCCAGAGGTTAGTCGATGTGAAACGGGGGATAGGTTGCACTTCCATTCCGGTGATGGGAGATGCTTTCTGTCGCCCTTGTTGTCTGTCGTGGGTGGCGACGTGCCCTGGTGGATCCACTCGCCAATAATGTCCTCTGGCCACAGGTTATGCCCAACCTGGCAGTGGGGAGGGGTAAGGTGTGTGTGTGTGTGTGTGTGTGTGGTGGGGGGGGGTAAGGGTACAATACCCTGGTTTGTTTCCCTGTATTCCTGCTCGTTACATTCACACTGTTGTCCACCCTGCACAAGCCTGTAGCAAAATACCATAGAGAATATAATTCATGGATACACAGGCGAGGGAGGGAAAATTCTACAAATCACCATCAAGTTCCAGAACAATGTTGAATGATTCGTTTCATATCATCTCATATGTTTCTTTGCAAGAATGCTATTCTTCCCTCCCCTCAAGCGTTCATGTGATCGTTTTTTTTTTTGACCCTGATAAATTTGATACGAGTGGTGATAATGTAAGTAATCAAATTTCTGATTGAAGGGGTCCAAAAGTCTGGTGACATATCAGGTGCAAACATTGGAGGCACCAATGAATGGAAAGGATTTCTTGCAGCGTTGGGTAATAGTTGTTTGAATGAACCCTTTTCCTAAACAGTATCTCGCTCATCAATGCTGATCAATCAAAGGAAGAAGTAATATCTTAGAATAGAACACAGCTGACGTGTCTCCTTTCAAATCTCTGTCTCTTCTACCCTTACACCCACACACACTTCATCTCTGTGCCAGTAAAGACTGGTAAATAGAGACTGCATACATTCATTTATCATTGTCACTACCCACTACTCTTAGTTGCTTAACTTAATTAATTGAGGTGTGAAATGTCATTAGAAATTCTCAAAGTGTTGCTGATGATTCTTCAGATAACAGTTGCATTTGATGTTGCACTGTATCATATCTCAAGCTCTCAAAGCACTTCATACAATGAGTTAATTTGTAGAGCAGTGACTGCAGCAGCCAAAGTCCACGAGCAATATTTAACAGCATATATAAATGACCAATTAAATCTATGAAGTTTGATGAGGGAAGAATATTGGTTCAGAATGTAGTGCTCTCTGCTCCTTTGGGGGTCAATCTGGCTGAGTTGTTAGCGCTCTCATGTCTGAGTTGCAAGGTTGTGGGTTCAAGATCCATGTCGAGTCTTTGAGCTCATAGTCTAGGCCAGTTGTGGCCAACCCATGGCCCAAAAGACCGTCAAGAAGTGGCCTGCTGAGTATTCACACTAGTCATGGTGAGTTTGTTTTAAATCAGCATTTTGTTCCCAGTTTTTTATTGATTGAATATTTCTTGATTTATGGCATAAATCAAGTCATATTCAATTAAGAAAATTAATTTTGTTGGCCGACCAAAAGGGTTGGCCAACATTGCTCCAGACTGACACTCCAATGCTCCAATGCATTGATGGAGTTGCTGTCCTTTGGATAAGCTGTTAAACCAAGGTCCTTTCTGTCTGTTCAGATTGGTGTGTAAGGTCCCAAACTATTGAAGAGAAGAAGGAACTTTCTCCAGGTGTCTTGGCTAACAATGCCCTTATTTTATCTGTGGGTAGCCACCTGTCAAGTAACTACTGTATGTTCATACAGCTGGAAGCAAATTAATGTTGCTTCCAGCAATAAAGGAGGAGAAAGCCTGATGTACATTTCCTATGCCTAATTGCATTGAGGAGAGTTCTCCACATGTACAACTAGGCTCATATGCATATGTTCCAATGAACATCGCCAGTTTTTTAATGTTACATATGAGCTGGTTTTGTAACTTTCTTTAATATTTTTTAGAAAATGATCCCTTGTTATGAGTGAAGCTTGAATTGATTCAAATGATACATTACCCATCAAGGTGCTTCTGAAACCACCTCCTCAACTTGATCTTAGCAGATAAGCTCCAGCATGATTTGTTTTCAGATCACTGTGCTGAAAGATGATTCTACTGTGCAATAACACCAGGAAAATCAGAGTATAAAACAAACATTAAATTCCACAGTTTGCTTCTAATCTGAGATTTTTTTTTCCTCTCCATGTCTCTGAGACCTATTCTACCCTTGCCACATGCCTGTGATTTCCCTTCTCCATTCAATTGTTACTTTACACCCTTTTGTTCTATTTCTCTAATGCTATATTAAATACAGGCAACAACAACAACCTGCATTGCAGTGCAAGAAGTACTGTCATGTAATCTCCTCTCCCCTTCATTTGCAAGAGGCTCTTGCCCTCTACAGCACCAAGACCCTCTTTGCGTCTTGAAATTTCTTGCACTATCTTCTGTTCCTACAATACTTCCCATTATGCTTCTGAAATACCTCTCCCATCCATTTCCAATCTAGATCTTCAGTATGCCTCCTTGGCAACAACGACAACAACAACATGCGCCTCCCACCAGAGTAGCATCTCAGAGCGCCGAATAGTGGGGGAGCCTGACTCTGAGCCTGGGGGAGGAAATCTTCCCACCCATGCCTCTCAATGTCACTGTATGGTCCTCCCACTTTCCATGAGCTGGGACCTCCCCCCCCACCAAAACTGCATTCGCTGATTCAGATTCCTAAACTAAACTAATATTTGCAAAAGGTCCATGTTACTCAATGACAGCAATTATGTTGCAAATTTTTTTCCAACCACATTTTGCTTAACTGTAATATTTCTCCACAAATGTAACTGAAACCCTCATCGATGCCCTTGAACCACTTTCCATTACCAAGTTCAGATGGAGTGTTGGACAAAACTGCTTAGAACAAGAACACTTCATTGGGATACAGAAAAACAAGTTAGCAATAAAAGGAGAGAATAAAAAGTTTTAAAAAAAAAACATGTTTATCAATCGGCACGGGCAGAGCACATGCCATGCCTGAAGGAATCTCAACATGTGTAATTCTTCTGCAACACTTCCAATTCATGCATAGTGATGTCTTACGTTAGTGGCAGGCAGATTAGGTTACAGAAGTTACATGTCATTGTATGAATAAACAGAACCTTCTCTGACATTGAAATACCAAACCTAATTATTCATAATTTATTATTCATAATTAATTATTAAAACTTTTTGCCCCTTCGGTTTATAACATAAAACTGGCCTGTTCTGTTATTTTCTCAATGCACAATAATTCCAAACTATACAACTCACTAATACCATCTAGTGGCGACTAGGCTTTATCATAATCTATTAATTCTTGAAGAACATTGTTCATATTCTGCTCCAATTGGAGTAGTTAAACAGTAATAATAAGAGCAATAGTAATCCTTGCATTTGATATAGCACCTTATCACATCTTTGAGACTTTGCAAAGCTCTTCACAGAATATACTGTTAATTGAATTGACCGTATATTTTGTGGGCGAAACGGGGCAGCCAATTGCGCACATCAGTGTCCCACAAACAGTCATAATTGAGATTTTCAACTAATATATATGTTGGTGCTTCTGCAACTTGTGCTGTTCGGACTCTGTCGCAATCTCAAATTGTGTCACCCTAGCAGTGTATGTTGAAACACGGTTATATTATCTGTTGCCACTATAAATGGGAAATTTGAACTAAGCTACTTTTGAGTTGGTGTGCTCAGATATATCAGGGCCGGCTGGTGCTATCTGTGCCTTATATAGCCAATTTAATTCTTACTTTCTTGACATCATGGAAAAACAGTAGTCAACTTCTTTCTAACTCTCCATGGCTGTGTTGGTGATGTGAATATTGTAAGAATGAGAATTGTTTTCATGAAAAGGCTTCGAGGAAGAATGAAAAGAATGAAAAAACATAACAATCAAAT